TCAACGGTTATATCTACATTGGCTGTCGGCGCCGTCCTAATACGGTTTGCCGACTTTGCACCAGCATCTAGTGATAGTCACACTGAGCACTGAAATATTATAAATACGTCTACAGACGTCGTCAATCGCGACTACTGACATACGACAGACACCTGTAAATCCGCAAATGACATCTTGCCGACGTCATTCTGAAGTTTGTCCCGCCTACAGATGTCCTTTGCACATCCCTCCTGTCATTCAGAGGATGTATTTCTAACATCCATCTAACAAACAGGATATTTTTATAAAATAGATGGCCCAGTCATCGGCTATGTACCGGCGTCATACCGGTACACTCACTGGTTGGGTTAAACCGTGAGAAGCATTTCTCGAAGGCAACATAACTTAGGAAATGACGCAACGATGAAAGTTAGATGCGCTAGAAATGACGCCTCTGCTGGCAGGTTGAAAAACTTTCAATGATTATTCGAAGTATTGTAGTTAATAACTATAAAATATATAATAATAATAATAAATGGTAAAAAAGAACAATGGCCAAAATAAATGCCGGCAATAAAACGACATTCTAAAGACGTCATACTGCGTCGTGTTTTAAGAATATCTGCATAAGACGTCTACCGGGTGTATTACGCATAGCATTTTTCAATCGGACGTCAGTAGAACATTCCATACAGAATTCGGATGTCTTTCGGATGTTCTGTGTTGTGTGGGGTGCTGGCATTATGTTATTCTTCAATACTGTCTCAGCGCATAGCTGCAGCATAGGCGTTTCGTTGCCGAAATAAATTTTCTATAGATATTACGGCAATGTGAATGAGTTACTTGGCCAGTTAACTGTTACTAACTTTCATGAATACCCATAAAACACTTCCCGTATAGTATGAGATATTCTTTGCATATCTATTTCAAGTCCGTGATATGGGAAGTATATCGTGTATGTCCTATGAATACATATGTATTCTTCGTACATGCATGAATATCTAGAACATGCTGTATGCACATAAGTTTATTATTCAAATGCCAACGTATATACTGACATATTCGTGAGATATTATATGCATATTGTAACGTTCCGTCCTTTTACCCCTTTATCCTCCACCCTTTTTCCTTCCTAATCATCCATTCTCAATGATGGATACGAGCCCCACATAAGAGTGCATAGCTCACTATGGATGTACATAATAGTATCTGAGAGAACTCCTCACATCCTACAACCCCTCAAAACTTCTATCGACCTCTCACAGCGACGCCGATAAAGGAAAGGAAAAATGGGACTTTTAAATTCCTAATATTGCATAGTTCCCTTGAAATTAGTCATAGCGACAGTCAGGAGGAAATGATATTAGAAACTTTGACCTTTAATATTCGAAGAATTCAAAGTCCAGTCGAGCGACTGAAGTCAAAGGAAACAAGTGCGTAGGCGCTATCAGCCGGCACGCGCCAAACACAAAAAGAAATACCAGTAAGCCGGTGTTTGAAGAAACCAATAATCCAATTACTTAATTTAAATAGTCAAATCGATCGATAAATCAAAATATTGAATCCAAGAAGCGACGTTAACGCCTTGGGAGAATAAAAATCGTTATTCCCACTAAAATTAACGTATCCCTCTCGAGGATATAAGCAGCGGCTTCCTCGATAGGAATTCACTCTGTACTCGACTCCGTTCTGGGATACCGACTCCGACTAGACTCGTGTACACCGAAAGACGACAAGAAGCAGTAAAATTGTGGAAAGTATAATTATCAATAAGCAAGTCAATTATCAATCTATCTTTTATTCCAGAGCAAGCCAGTGAACAGTATTGTACTGCAAACTGTGGGAGCTCATCCTTGACAATTCTTGGTCTCAAGGAGCATTGTGTCTCAGCTCTGTATCAAGAAGCCTGCCCTCCTTGTAGATATCCTGCAGCAAACTCATTGTGCCGGCGCTGTCAGGAATCGATAAAAAATCCACCTCACTGAAACCCGCCTAAAAACGACTAAGCTCCCAACGTCATTTTCATTAGTAGCTGTCTGAGTCGAAACCTTCCTAAGGTAATAGGTTCGAACGGGGGTCATTGTGATCATCTGTGGGTCCTGAATCATTCCTATCCCTATCTCCAGCTGGATGCATGGTATAGTCTTCGGACGCATCGTGCAATATGCTGTATTATAGTTGCAGCTATCTACTTGCCAAGCCTAGAAGCTGGTATAGGGAATACATAAAAAAATACACTTTCTGTCGTCTACGATAATATAATTGGAAACAGTCATAAGAGTGCGCGTGTGTGTAAGAGAGTGGAATAGAATTTGAAGAATCTTTTAGAGTGTAATTTATAGGACAATGTAGCACGATTCTTTAATTTTAAAATTCAAGTGTGACATTCCTTCAAAAGGTGCCTGCCCAGTGCACAACCCTATAAAAATTCTCGTGATTCCTAATCCTAGAAAATCACGAAACGTCTCAATATACGTGCACGTACATAGAAAAATTCAAACTTCTGGATATTAAACCAGACAAGTGAGAAAGTAATTTCTTAAACGACTAATCAATACGTTTAGTAAATTCATTTTTCCAAGCAAAGCTTTTTATCGGTACCGAGAAAAAAATTGTAGATAGTGAGATATGAATGAAAATCAATAAATATATTTTTATTTCGTACGATCATTTTTACACTAACGTTTATGGTTTTATTCCTGTGTATTAGAATTTATATCGTACCGCTCGACACAATGAATATCTTCTTTTTTTTTACAACAGAACTCATAAATACTCGATAGCATACTGGATTGCATGCGTGCGTGTTAGGTCTTAGGTCGCCGGTTCGATCCCCGGTTTAAGTATGGGAAAGTTAAAAAAATTATTTCGAAGAAAACAAATTAAGGGAAGTCAATGCCAACCATAAAGAAGAAAAGACCATATATTATAAATGAATTGCCGAGTGTAATATTGATTTTTTTTTAGCAACTGCTCAAAGAATACCGCGTAATGTGTCGCCAGAGAGCACCTTTGCACTTGACATTTCCCCATTTTCTATACATTTTGGTGGCTGAGAGGAGACAGTCGAATGCAAAGGGTTAAAATATTATTTTTTTGGACAAATAACTATAAAATTGCCTAAAAATTTAAGACAGTGATGTCATCTCTCATAAAAAAAGTGGTAATCAGCAACTTTCTTACGACGTCTCTGCGACCGACTTGTATTGGGATGGATTTCATTTACAATTAAGGGGGGATGAAGTTTTTTTTATCAAATGCTGTAATTACAGTGAATTCAATATACACACGGGACAATTATACCAATTTTATTATTTCAACAACGGTGTAATCAATTTGAATCTGCATCAATTTATCCAAAAAAGTTTTCTGTGATCGCAGCTGGTACTTGATATTACCAAATCTTTTTCTCAGTGCGTAAGCGCGTCACTGAATGCACATCGTACACGTGTCAAAGCACGGCTTCACAACCTTGGATAATACGGACTGACACCTGCTGTAGCGCGAATAACGCAGATTTATACGAATCCTATACAAGCTCGAATAATGAACTCGGATAAAGCAAGCTTGAATAATCCGGGTTCTACAGTGTATGGATTATATACTGCTACGTCTAGCATTAGGCTTGTCAGACTGACTATTACGTAACTTACGGCTGTATGCGACATATACGAAAAGCAGCACAGAATTATATATTCAAAATATATCTTACTTATATTAATAAATATTTTTTAATCATGAAATACGTATAAACTTAGATGATAAAATCGAAGGAAAAGGAAGATCTGAGAAGATAGCATTATAAAAAATCAAATTTTATTTATATACACAGTGGGGGAATGTAAACCCACTTTCGCCCTTATACGTTTTAATATTTATATGTTCACACATTTGTGTGTTCATAAACACGAAATAAAAAGTACGTAATAATTCGAAATTGATATTGCAATGAAATTTTACTATTGAACTTATCATTTCAAAGTAATGGTATATGATAGGAAGTTTGCTACAAATTTTTTATAGTTTAGATTAACTTATAGCGGATGAGCATAACTCTATGATGATGATTAAGTGCATATCAAGCAAGCGGTATATGTATGATATGGATACAACTGATAAGCCCCCGTAAAAAGTGATCATATTTATCCTTACTCCCTGACAATAGAAATTTAATTTTATGTCTAATGTAAAAACAATTTTTTGTACTTACTGTTATCTTGTCATTAAACGGAAAATTACTCTTTCGTAATAAAAAATATGCTTCAAGTAAGACGATAAAGATCACAATAATTTTTATTGACAACAATTACTTAACAATGTACAAGTACGAAATGTTATTAAGTGTGTGAAACCATTGATAAAAATAAATAAAGCTTTACTATTAAACATTATTTTACCAACGTTTCTTCCTGAACGTGTCTGTTTTAATCGTTAAAGGTTTCACACTAAAATATAACTATGATAACTATGTATAACAGGTGACATTGAACAATTTTCGTTGTAACACAGAATTGCAATAATATGAGAATTTATCTTTCATTCATATGCAACGAATCGACCTCAATGAACCTAAAATCCAATATGAAAAGTACGGAGAAAAGAAGGTTCAATACCTTTTATATGAAAGTCGAGACTGACTTGTTGGAATCGAAGTATCCTAACCTAATATAACACAATCGACATCCAAACTCCTGTTGAATCTTCAAATATAATCGTACATAAGGTCAGTTACGCGTCGATCGAAGTCCCGTAAATGAAAACGAGTGCGCAATTACCATTCCCATAGCGCGAGTATTGTTTAACAAGGTTGAAAAGAGCATAAGAGTAGATAAAAATGAAGTGGTGGACAGAGGATAGGAAACGTAGAGGAGAAGAGGCGATGTGGAGAGAAAAGGTAGGCGAAATCGATGCGACGTGGAGTCGCAGAATGCGTGGGAGTTTTCCGGGACCCGTGAGCTCTCATTGGCTGAGAAGCTCGTAACGAGAGAGATGATTGGTCGAGGTATACGGGGTCGGCGCTATCCACTCTTCGTGGCAACTCGACGCAACCTGTATGTCGCCGAAAAGCTCAGAAGGAGTCGGACATTCGAGACGAGCGAATTTCGCACCACCAGGGGCTGACAGGCCGGATATCATAATATTTTAACATCCACGACGAAACACAACCTCTCCGTCATAGCCATTGCCACCACTGACACCTACAGCGTCGCTACTCTTGTCACCCTTCGTTTTTCAACCTTGTCCTCCTCCTTTGCTATTATCCCGACGGCATATTCTAATAACAAAAGTTTTCGTTCGTCGTTCTACAAGAATGGTTCGATTGTTGTGCACCAGCTTGGCCCTTGGCCTCGCCCTTACGGTCTGTGCTGCTTTTCCCCGTGCAGTAATGGCGATCGACCTTAGCCGACTCTACGGTCACCTCAGTTCCAAGAGAACGGGTAAGTGAATTTATATTCTCATTTGTAGAATGCAGTCATTTTAAAATAAGTGTTAGTAGGGGATAGTTTTTTTTATGCGTGTGACAAATATCTCTTTCCTTTTAATATAAATTTGCACATTTTTCATCATACACAAAATGATACAAAGTTTTACTTTAAAAATTAAAGATTTTTCAGTTTGTCTCAATTTTTCATATTTCAACACAATGGAATGTTGCAGTGAAACGCTTCATATGATTTTGTATGACACATCGTTACTACAATGATATTAATTTTCACGTCCTATGAAAGGTTGATGATACAGTTACGATATAAAAATTGCTGTTATTGCTTTTGTGCGAAGGGTAAACACCGACGATCATTTGTTATAAATTTTAAAAGACTACGGCAATTACACTGATTTTAATAAGTATGTAGTATTATGTTTCACGTAGTACAAAAAATATTAATACCGGGTGTTACAATTGTTACTAAAACATGGATGTGTATTTTAATTTTATTTGATTCGGCATAGAGTCACGCTACTGATGTCTTATTATTTTCTGTGTGCAATATTATTATTATAAGTTCAGGATAGCGTGACTTGGTGTCAACGTTACGTACAAAGCACCCGTTACCGTAAACTGAAAGAATGAGTTGATATCGTATTAGCATTGTATTAGGATCAGTTTTGCAAAGAATAAATTTCTTTTGTGATTTTCATACAGTTTTTTATCCAGCAATATGAAAGCGTATGTTACTTTATCAAAATTTTAGGGCTTCCTCTAGCTGCAAATTATATCTAGGCATTTGATATCTCATGAGCCATACGGAAATTCTCAAAACAATAAAAATCTTAATCGGATATTCAAAGACGGAACATTCATATAGGGTTATTCACTGTTATTCAGTGATTTCATGAATGAGAGCAGGGTGGCAACATTAAAGAAATGAAGGTTAACGTCATAAGGTCATAACATTGCGAAAATCATGAAATTCACGTTTTTGTATTTGTTTAACAAGGCCACACTGCCTCGATTAACAGAATTCTTCAATCGCGTCCAACTTCAGCTGATGCGTTTGCCGTGAATAACTGCATGTATGCTGAAAAATATTTCAAAATTTTGTAACTCCCAGACTATAAATACTATCCAATATCGTCTTTATGACGTTTAATGCGGTTGAGATTGGTTTTTAGGCATCTTAAGCACGTCTTTAGTATTTATGTGCTATATGGATTATTATTACGTTTTATTTAAAATATGTGTAGTATACCATAATAAAGAATGAAAAATGTTCGACATTTTACGATAATGTTATCAAGCTATATGATTATATAGAAATCCACGTATACCTATAATACGTCAAAATCTGGCGAGAACGACGTTACTTTCCGCGAACACTATTCGTGACTACATATACTTATATACTTTGAAAACTTTCTTCACGACTTGAGACTGAGCACGAAACTTGAACCAGTAATTACACATTAATTTCTTGTTAACGATGATCACCGCCTATCACGAATACTACTATAGAAACGTTAACGCCGCACCTCTGCATAATTATAGTTCGAAACCTATACGGATACATTTAAGCACGTTTACATAGAGTTGCCATGGAATTAGATCATATAGTCTATCCGTGAATAATGTCGATTTTCGAAGGGGGCATGTAGGCTTGAATTTCAATGTAAAAGAGTTATAAATTTGTGCATCTGCTAACTGCCGTATATCAATACTATCTTTAATTATTATTTATTATTATTTAAATAATGATTAAATGAATATCTTCTCCGTTTGCACGGACCGCAGCGACTAACTCTCTTTCTGCTTTGTAAGTTGCGAAACAGATTATTGTTTTTGCCAAATATTTTTCGAATTTATGACAGTCTTGGAGAAAGAATATTCTAGTGAAATTGGTGATTATACGAAAAGTGGCCGTACAGATAGTTTTGGGAAATAAAAATAGAAGCGGCCTTTCAAAGACTTCCTCGGTCGATATTTGACCCATCGCTGATTATGTGCTTCACCTACCTTCACGTGGAATTACGTACTCAATTATTAATTCCTAATATTCTTAACATTGGGGACATCTACACCATCGTACAAAAATATACAGAAATCTATTTAAGTTTCGGAATAACCGAACGATTTGTTTTCACGTAACACTATTACTCTATACCATAATATACTATACAAATCGAATATCGATAGTTGACAAATTTAATTCAATTTTCTATCGGTATGTTATACTGCTTGTTAATATAGTATTAACTGAACTTTGTAAAAATTGTCGGTGACTGATTTTTATAAATTTCAAATTAAAGTAGTACTTTTTACGTTACCTTAACTTTGTAGTTAATTTAATAGCTAAAGTAGATTTGCTTGAATGAACGAATGAATTGAATAAATTGCTATTAATGATTCATAAAGACTCGGAGATGTCAGACTGCAAGTGCTGATCATTTACAAACCTTACTGTTTCATCAATATTCTCAAGTTGATTTTTCCTGTAAATTTCAATTGCTTGCCTCTACCGCCGGTTGCCTCCACTTGGCGCAAGGCTCGACTGACAATGAGTTTCTTGATCCAATTGGTTTTATTCGTAAAGAGTTTTGTATATAGGCATTGAACATTCATTTTTGGATCCTTGCACGGCCCTTTAACAATGAAACTGCTGAACTTCTAAAAGTGTTATTATACCCAGCTACGTTTGAAAATTAATTTCTGATGGAAATTTCGAATCTTGTTCAGTTCAGCGATTCATCCTGAACATCAAATACTGTCTATATTCTGCCGCCACGCAAGCACAAACGCGTGTAGGACACTCCCCTATGTTCCACACGTTTCTGCTTATATATTTCTAAAATAGGTTTCATTGAGTTCCGTACACAGATCGTAATAGTGAAAGGCTAGATGTTCACTGTAAGCAATAATAGCTGGTAATAAAAAATGCATAGAAGAACAAATTTATAATTTAAAAAAAAGAATCGATTACGTCTTTGTATCCCGTTCGAACGATACGATTTTAATTTCATTATTTGTACGGGATACGTATACCGTTAGATGAAACTAATCACCAAACCAATTACTGAATTAATAATTATTAGTTGTCTCCTACGTTCACGTAAGAAGTCATACATGAATAAGTAATAGCAACTAACGATTAAGTAATTTTAAACTGTTGTGTTTAACGCCTTATTAGCATATGCATTTGTAGTAGTGCTGTATTCCTTTTTCCAATTCTAATTTTTACCTAAATACATAAATAAGCCTCTCTCCGGCATAGGAATAATACAAACTCCGATCTATATTGTTTCATAGCAAGAATCGTTGCATGAATGTAACAGATGTATTTATTTTGAAAAATAGTAGGATTGCATTAATCTTATACATTTTTAAATTTTGAGAATACTTCCTACTCTTATGTAGGCAATCAGATCTATGCATTTTATGTGTTCTTGCATGTGTATCTAAGATTAATGAAATTTTGAGATAACTTAAATCCAACTCGTAAACGTTCTATACGTTGCAAGCCCTACACGCATTCTCTCGCATGTTCATATCCTATAAATTAAATACCCTGCATGTAATTATTCTACGTGTTAAATATTCAAATAAATCTCAGCTCCGTGAGTTATAATTATAATCAAAAATATTTAAAAATGCAATAATGAATACTGTACAAAATCACAGTAGTTTTCGAGGTTCCAATGGACGACCTCTTCGTGTCCAAATCTGAACGAGTACCATATAAAGCATGAAACCTTTAATTTTCGACATAGTGAACAAATTTTTTTTTAATAAAAAAAATATACACAGACTATTTCAACCTATGTCGACCGATCACAGCATTAAATTATCATGTAGATAACGTATGTCCATAATTAATACAGTAACGCACGTCACTGTAAGTATATAATATTCTTCTTTATAATATTAATAAAAAAAATATTTAAATTCATAATACTTGTACGCACCTTGCTAATGGAAAAGGGATACCAGAATAAATTTATATTGTTAGGTAAATCTAACGTACACTAAGAAAACTATTGTTTAGCGTCAACCGAAATTCAGTTCAGTTGTACATGGCGGTTGCCGGCAGACAAATATATGTTAAGTCATTTCGACCGTATTTTGCAATAATTTTTGCTAACTGTTTTAATCATTCGCAATCAGTACAAATCAAGTTCAATCAATTACTATTGTATTTCGTGTAATTAATTCTTTGTGTTGAATTAAAATGCAAACACAATCTATTTGAACATAAACATAAACATTCTATCCAATTGTCGAGCAACTTCGGAGTTACTTTTTCATATTATTACTTCCTATACATATAAGGTTGTACACTTTGATCACGGTACTTACGCAATTTTATGTATTTACACTTAAAATCATAACCTGCTGGGGATGTTTTGATCAAACTCAAGGTGTTCGAAAAGCTGTCGCGCTACGATAATCACAGTTTTATGAAAGTGTGCTACTTGAAATTATTACGCCAATGTATTCATTTGAGAGGTACAGTTTAGTTACGGGTTGATCGCTTCACGTTTTGCCTCGTAGCGGACAATCCTTCTATTACACAATTCTTAATTTTCTAGTAACCGCAGATTTAAAGGACGTAATATTTTAACCCTTCATTTGCAGAACTGTTTTTTTTTCCATTCTCTGTTTACAGATAGGATCTTTCAAGTGCTGTTCAATTTTGAACGTGTTCCGGGCTTTCAAAAAATAGAATGAGAATAACTCAGATTCTGAAAATGTATGTTTCATTGGAAAATAGTTGAAAAATCAAATGTTTATATTTTTTAAAATTAAAATTAAAATATACCAGAAATATGAAAAACATCGGAATTTACTAAACAATGCAAAAGTTTACAACAATGATTATTTTTAAAAATCTTTGTAGCGTCTTGTACCTTAGACTAGGACTCTAAAAAAAATATAGGCCTGATGGCGGCGGCTTCAAATAATTGAATTATTTGAACACCTGAAAACAGAGTTTATTTTACAGTGATTCGTGCACGCAATTATGCAGAAAAAGCAGGATATTGAATGTTAATGTATATTTATGTAGTGAGAAAAATAGGGACTTACAGGCATGGGTAATTTAAACGAATGCATGTGCTGATATTCATTTAGTCTACAAATAATCGTTATTGAAAAATAGTTATTAAAGATCACCAATCTCTTCTGCCCTTCAATACGTCTGACGTCTTTGCCTGCTCAACCAAATCTACCTCTAATCTACCTCCATCGCACGTCTCGTCCCTCATCCTACATCTTATTTTCTAAAAACCTATGCATAACGATACAACATTTATTGTAAAAAAAAACGTAAAATATACTTTGAAGTTTCAATTGAAATGAAAATTAACTTTAAACAAAAACTTAGTTTGCACAGTCTTTACAGATATGTGTGTGGTGTTCTTCACGCACATTATGCACAGAGGGAATTGGAGCGGATTCGCCATGTTCACCGCTAAGCTGTTTTTCCCATGCGCAACAGTCTACATTTACACAATAAACCTTGTATTATTGATAAAAATATTGAAAAATATTGAAAAATACTGAAAAAAATTCGAATTCATTTACTTGCAAAAACAGTAACGCGATTTACAGACACCCACTTTTATTTTACTGAACGCACTTTCATTACGTACTGATTAATTAAAGGTCAACTTTCCCATTGCGCGTCACTTAAAGTGCACGACCACACACTACTATCTAGATTTTTCAGAAGGGGAAACCGAACTTCCTTTTTCTCCCACAGATGACACATTCCAGTTTGAAATATAGTTTGCGCCTTAAAATCCCCTATCCGTAAACGGAGGATTAAATTTATGATTTTAAAAATAGTCGGGTAAAAAGTAATATATGCCGCATGGGAGGAGCGCGGATTTTCACCTCGCACTCGGCGAAAATCGCGCACTTTCGTCCCTAGTGGGATAATGTACTACTTTATTCAATGCTATAAACGTGCAGAGTGCAATGCACATTCGAAACAATATCAATTTCATTTTTTTTAAAAAGCGTCAGTCTAAATCTGCGTAGATTGTTCCAAAAAATGTTCACGTAATCGCAGGAGGTGTTAATATTACCAAACATTTTACCCAATAGATTTGAATCAATCATTGAATGTATGCAGTTTATATTTCTGAAAAAGTGAAGCAATGCGATCCAAATAATCCTTTCCGCAACGACAAATAATGTTCAAAAGTGCTCTTTAACGTGTCTAATGAGACAAGAGTTATTATTGGGTGTTATCTGTATTATGCCCATCTGAAATATGAACATGTATAATTAAAAGCGATGTTTAATTAAACTGCTGTATGTATCATTACAATTTACACTAGCCTTTATGCCACTAATAACTACACAAATCTTATCAAGAAAGAATAAATATCATAAACAAAAATTTTATTCCAACATCAAATACTTTAAATTTTTAATGTTACTCGAATTAACATAATTTCATTTGTAAGCAAATGGTAATAAGAAAGACAATGAATGTTTTATAGGGGGAGCCTGCCATCCATACGAACCGTTTAAGTGCCCTGGAGACGGTATTTGCATTTCGATACAATATCTCTGTGATGGTGCACCGGATTGTCAAGATGGCTATGATGAAGATTCAAGACTTTGCACAGCGGGTTAGCATTTTTTTTATTTAATATTTATAACCTCGTCCTATATCACTATTTAAAAGTTAAAGACATACGTTTATCGTTGTTTTCAATTTTTATAAATTATAATTCGATTTCGTCTCTCTGCTATGTAGTATCCATGAAAACTTTTAATATTGTATATTATTAATCTGTTTCTTTCATTATTTATTTCATGTCTCTATCAAATATCACTACATCTATTTTACCATTACAAACAAGTAGAATACAAAATAAATTTGGTATTAAAAGCAACTGCAATTAAATTTCAAATCGCCTTTTCAGTAATATAATATTATATTCCATTAGAGAACTAAAATGAATTTTTTATTTAGTGTTCCACTTTAATTTTTTACTGAATGCTTAAACAATAAAGAAATCCGTAATATTAATTATTTGACAGTGCGCGACCATTCCTGAGTTAAATTAAAAACATCACAGATTTTTAAGCTATTTCATAAAGTGAACTGCCTTGTCGTACGATCTGTATATTTATATTCCCCAATCATCTACGTCAAGAGTAATGTTATAAGTAGATATAAATATAATATACCGTCTATGAACAATGTTTCAGCTAAGAGACCACCGGTAGAAGAAACAGCAAGTTTCTTGCAATCTCTTTTGGCAAGTCACGGACCTAATTACTTGGAAAAGCTATTTGGAAATAAAGCACGCGACACACTCGAGCCCCTTGGTGGTGTACAAAAGGTGGCCATTGCCCTTTCTGGTAAGTTTTCTGAATATCCTTTTTGACAGCTTCGAGTGTTCCAAACGACTCGTGGTTAAAAATAATAGCCTTAGACGATTGCAATAAGCACACAACAAATAGATACATACAATTCTTAAGTAAACAAAAATGACATTACAGAAAAGATGGAACGACTGATAACTCTATTTTGTCAAAATGTAACATTATGCCATATTTCTCTATTGAATATATATCATAACTGTGAAAAAAGAAGGAAATGTACCTACTTGCTAATTCATAAAGATACGTACAAAATAATTTTTGCTCGATCATATTTTTCTCGTAATATGCAGGTGTATGTTTATGAAATTTTTTAAAATTTATTTAATGATAAGAAAAAAGCAACAGGAAAAAAAATGATCGATTAATTTTTCATTTACGCAGAATCTCAGACCATTGAAGATTTCGGTGCAGCGTTACACCTGCTGCGTGCTGATCTAGAACATTTACGCTCAGTATTTATGGCTGTGGAGAACGGCGATCTGGGGATGCTTAAATCGTTGGGTATTAAGGATTCGGAACTCGGTGACGTAAAGTTCTTCTTGGAGAAGCTTGTCAATACGGGTTTCCTGGATTGAAGTACTCATTGCGTTCACCAATATTCAACTTTGCCGACCGCGTCACTACTTGTTCGACAAAACTCGACCAAACTCTCTGTTTCATTTTCGACTTGAAATCTCATGGAAAGATTACACAGAGAACTTACCGATCTTGCGAGGGTGCAGTGACCGGCCGGTGGAAGAAAAACACAGTAAAGATCAGCTCGAGTCCTTAAAAATAGTCAGCGCACGGTACTCGAATATAATTTCATCTAATATTTAAAATATCACTTAGAAAAGAACAAATCATAATGTTTGATAAGTAGTCTGTGTTTATTGTGGAAAAATTATCTTTGTTTGCATATGAATTGAATAGTTTCCAAAAGACACTTGGGATTCTAGTTACATTCGTTCTCTACTCATTCTAAATTGTACCTCGAATATATAATGCCATGAAATTATTATTTAGGCGATCGATTGAACCTTTGTACATTTGGTGATATATTATTCTGATAATGATATATCTACCTTTATCTACAGAAAACAATTTTATTACTCTTAGGCGTAAACCAACAAAGAAAATCACGATTACGTACCGGTAATGTCAAAATGGTGATTTGAATATCAGTGATTTACATGATTGTACACATTTCCCTGAGAAGGAAATTTTCGCATTGCCGATAGGTAACTGTCACTTCGTGTTTGCTAGAAAATATATTTCTTTTGCGAATTTTTCAGAGGTATTAAATTTTGATATACAATATGTTACGGTCTTTAGGTATTCGAGGTGCAATCATTCACAAGTAGAAGATGAAGCACGTTTTTTGGAAAAATGTTATTTCTAATGTAATAGATCCCTGCGGAGCTAAAGATATAGTACCGTTATTTAGAATACGGTAATGCCAAATTTCAGTGTGTGTTTTTCGAATGTACAATGCCTTGATTTCTAAAATCTCCTCGATGAAAGGCATTCCGACGATGATAAATTAATGAAAAACTAAAACTTCACATACATGAGAAATTGTGATTCCAAGAAATCTCCGTGGGGATTCTAAAGAATATTTCCAATATTTCGATGTACATTGTATATTTCAAGGAAATGTAGGGAAAGGTGAAGGAGACGTAAAGTGCGAAATATTTTGGAGACTCCCAGATACATACAATTAAGTGTAGGCAAAGTCGTGGTAACCCTGACCACTATTCTTTTTTATTAAATAACACTTCGTCTCATTCCTTAAAATGAAGAATTCCTTACCGAGAGGAATGACATGAGCCCAAGTAAAATATTCAATACGAAGCACTTTGCAAAACTGTATAAGGCATTCAATTGAGTGGATCCAATTCCGTCGATTCAACGAGTCGCCGGAAATTGGTTCGATGCCAATAATTGACAATCGATTAAGTTCTTGATAATTTTTTTTTAATTCCAGATCAAATTCTATTTTAAATTGGCCTAATTGTAGACCAAATGTAGCTCATAGACGTCACGGTTCGGATAACGTAAGGAGCATTTAGCGTACAGATATATTAAAATACAACCGTAAATAAGGGTTTAAACTATCATTGCATCCCGGAATGATCATAGAGACGAACGATACATTTTCTTATTTATAATAGGCGCTTCAATATACCTGGTATATTAACAGTGTCGTTACTGCTTGCTATGCTATCTAAGAGGGATCGTTATCAGATTCATTGATAAAATGACTATTACGTCATAAACATTTAGCAAGTATTTTATGAGTAATTCTGCTTACTGAAACAATTTCAAAAATATTTTGTTAATGTATATTAGCGTTAATTACCGATTTGAACGATGAAATATTACCAACATTTTGACTAACGTAATAGGCTCGTCATTTTGAATAACGTAATAGTACGAACCTGGATAAAGTGTCATTCTTGACAATGGAGCAATTTTTAAAGATTCAAAAGATTATATAATTATATCAATAGATGTATCGATTATATCGTAAATCAATTCTCGGATTCTAATCTAAGAATTTCAGGATTATTTTAATAATCTTCATTAGTTTCATTAAAATACAAGTACAGTCGAGTCGCGTTATAAAGCCTCTCGGTATAAGACTCCACTTAGCCGTTTTTCATCCTGAGCGTTCTCCTCTATCGAGAGTCAAAGGACCCGTGATGGGGCTTGTGTCGGGAGTGGATAATACATTTTCATTATGGTGGGAGTTCTTATAACCGTTCTCGTAACGCGACTCGACTGTATAAATGAATACAAAGACTTCAAAAGAAAAAAAAACAGACGGTTTAACTTTGAAAATTCCTATAATCAAACGTCCATAAACTTCAGAAAAAGATCTCGGACGAATCATAAATTTCTCAAGCAATTCGTACGACACTATATTACACAATTCTTATACATTATATCTTTATACCGTGTAACGAAAATTCATTTTCGTTACAACCGACACAGTGATGAGAAAGCTAAACGAAAAGTGGAAAAAGTGATAACACTTTGGGGATGAATGTGATTGGATGCTGAGATAAGGAACGATAACATATCAATATTAATATTTATCTGTAAGTTATATTCAAGCGTATTCTAGTATAGCTTCTTTCATGTACACGAATATTATATATTCTCGTTATATTATACAGCACATATATACCGGGTGGGGGGGGTGGAGGGGGTGTTTGATATTTTGATATAACGAATTTTATTCGACCTTTTGTTTTTTATGCTGAATATATTCAGGATTCTATTTTATGAGATATTATCGGTAGAAAATGTTAAATTTGGGTTTATAGAAAAAACAGAAGTGTTTTGTGTTGAAGTGGAAACTACAATTAATACGTCTTAATGTAAATTTGGCTGAAAATCAATTAAAAATTTATGAAAGGTCTCAGTACAACTAACTCCAAATTTTGGAAAAAAAATGTTATTGTATCGAAGCACCAATTTTTGAAAGTCAGACACCCCTAACGTACATTGTATAAGCATACAAATATTAACGTGCATGCTTCTTTTCATTCTCACATGAAATTACGAGTTGCGGCAAGTAAGCATCCCTATCTTGATGTCCTTTGTCAAGAAGAACGTTACATATGCATATGTGTATATACGTGGAACGTGATTGAGATTTTAATGAAATATTTCTTTTAAGTGTTATAACGAGAGAAAAAAGAAACCAAGGGGTGTCATCAACAATCTTTGCACCGATTGCTATTTACAAATATTTGCACTAAAATTTAACTTTTGACCTCGCGCACTTTTTAGAAATATTCATGAATGAAAATTATACCTAATAACTGCATGACGAAATCCGATTTTTCACATATTCGTAAGCACAAAACAAAATAAGGTGATTTGAACTCTCTGATTTTCAGTGGTCGTTGTGCAAAGTTAAGTCAATTAAATAATTTTAATGATACATTAATGATCTAAATTGTCGATGACTTCACATTAATTCTTTAAAATGTCTTGCTAGACATCCAACCGAAACACCTGCATTGGTATTAAAGTACACCATATTAAACCAGCATAGTTTTTAAGACACTTGCGTAGAGAAATCTGAACAAAGAGAGGAAGTTTGAAGTATCTCTGATAGAAGGTTGGTGGAAATATCGTATACATATCATATAATACGCATATCGGTAAAGCAAAATTATGAATAGAGCGATAAAGGTCCTCCGCAGTCGAAGAGTTCGCTTGGAAAACTATTTACCTGCCGTTCTAGTCGATTGTTGAGTCGTTAGAATTAGCATAAATTCGATAAATTTCTATCTTGCAAAGTCCTCGTACTATGCTCCCTCTCTCTAAGATTTTCGTCGACCAACGACGGACCCCACTCTTTTGCAGGAGTATAAAGACGCATGCGCACGCCTGCTTGTTCCTCCACGCTTATATTTGCCTGTCGGCAAGAGTGGGGGGACTGCATTCCACTCAAATCGAGGGGAAGATAAATAATACGAAGGTGATCATCAGGAAGGGAGCATAGTATACGTTTATTAAAAAATTCATAAACTTACAGAATAATGTAAACATGAAAATTTTGACAAACGATATAATATTTGTTCTAACATCGTAAGATGTTCGTTAATACTCTCTGTCGAATACAAATGCCCATGAACAATCGGACAAGTTGAAAATATCATTAAGCAAATCAAAATTAATATTTAGCTTAAAATATTATTTAGTCTAACATTCCATTGGCCTTTGATACTGAAACCCCTGATGTCGGGATTGTATGATTCTCGTACTAAAGTCTGTGTCTCTCATTTGCTCTTACGAGAACAAAGTGAAATCCATCCTTCTTAGTACACATCGGTAGTAACCTAAGCCATTGAAATGGTAGCGTATAGCAGAAAAATAAGCTTAAGATTGTATTGGTCGATAAAAATGTACTAGAACGGCAAAAAAAGGAGTTTCCCAAAGTGGGGAGTTCCTCAAAGACGAGAAGTTAGGCTTTTCTCTTGTCTCTTAGTTAAGTGACGTCTCTTATTGAGAAATAGCCGAGAGTCATTGTATCAGATGATAGATATTAATATATGAATAGATATAAATAAATATATCATATTTTGGTATAATGAAAAGAATCCCTCCAGGTGGCGATCGCGGTTCAAAATAGGGCCTGGACCGCAGGAGCGCTTTCAGGGAACCTTGAATCAGGATTTCCGAAGGACCAGGACACGCTTTTTCGCTCAGAATATCCACTAGTATGTCCTGGCCTCTCGGCGCCGTTGCTCTACCATCTAGACTACATACACAAATCCCTACCGACATATACCCAGTACACGCATACCCATGTAGTCGATATTAATTTTCCTAGATCGATGTAATCAAATGGTAAAAGATTCTTAAGGAAATCGTTAAGGAAATTGCTATTCGGGTCTTTTTAATTTCGGAACAAACAGTTGATATCTAAATTACGAAATTTTACGAGTTTGTCGAATAGTTAAGTAAAATGGAAATACATGCAATATTCGATAAAATTTGAAGAACGTTGCTATGTCAATTTCTCCTTTTCAAACATGTGTTATTATAATTCCTAATTTATCTCTCATATTTTTTTCGGGTTGTATTACCACCCCTCCTTGTTATCCTTCCGATCCTTCGTCCTTCCTCAACCTCCCGTTCTCATTTCATACATACACCTATCTAGCGCATAGTAAATGCATGTATACGTAAAATTATATGCATGCATTTACTTACGGCTGTGTCTTTACGTGTGATAAATGTGTACATATCATTCGAATAAGTAAAGAAAATAATTAAGAGCGTAATTAAGAATAGCATTGGGCTATGTGATAACCTTAAAAATATCATACATATCCTATCATCAGCGTAAACGTGATATATACGTTTAAAATTTGAAGAAGCGACAAGAAGATTTCAGAGATATATGAAGCACACATTTTTGTATGTAACAATTTTATTCGATCAATTTATCTGATCGATTGCAATTATCGAAGACATATCAGATTGTAAGTATACAGAATTCATTGGGCTCCTTTTACGATTATTTACATTTAATGAAAGTACACAGACGTATCTCTTGTCTCTTCTAACATAATTGTGGCAAGATGTGAAAAATTTTCGTCCTTCTGAATAATGATACTTTGCTGTTGTGCGCGTCGCGACGCTCGAACACTGTCAATTTCTAGCAGATTACACAGGGTTTGCGTGTTAAATTGTATATTTGAAATCGATGTCGCGTTATTTATTGATTTTCCATGGTACCGAAATTGTATATATACACATTATTGTATAAATTGAAATTATATAATTTTCTATGGGCTTGAATGATTGTAGATTAAATTAATTTGAGCCCCTTACAATTAGCGATATTTACACTGCACTGCGGCAATTACTTCTACAGTCGATTTGTATAGACAGGAATCTATGAGAGAGAGCATAAAACTTCCATAAGAAATTTGTTGCGCATCAAAATCATCTTGAGAAAATTGAATACTTCGTATACATATATGTTCTAGCAATAAGGGGACTTTTGTCGTCGAGTAAACAGACTATGTACGGTATAGATATATATGGTTTATATGATAAACTAATGTATACAATAATTTCGTATACATGATATACATATAATACCATGTTATCGGTGTATCCTTAAGTAAGGGCAAGTCGTTGAAGACTTCGCTTTACAAAAAGGCAACGACCTGTCACTGAAAATGAACATCATAATTATTGTAAAACCGCGCCTCTGTTATGTAAGCGAATGATCTTCGGACGACCAGCCCACTGAAACTGTGCGAATACTAATTATTACATTAGTACGTACTTATTAACATCGAGTTATTAATGAGAACGTGAATATTTCCTCGTCGCTTTGGTCTATGATCAATCTAAATCGATTTTTCGTTTTCTTTTGCATCCTTATATTTATCGTTAGTCATTGTCACGTGTGAAATACTATTTTACATAAACTTTCAATCGATATATTTTGCTACGTGAAACAAAATCTTGTTATTGCGTTATACGATACACTTTGTTCCATTCTTCACCTCGTTTTACTCATTCCGCCTTGTGCATATTGTCAATAAGAATATTACGATAAGAATATTTATTTCTTACAACTTACAATTAGTCAAGTAAAACTACAATCGACATACATACTTAAACACGAAGATAACGTATACTGTATACTGACATACATATATATTTTTTCGAAAAACTTGTATCAAAAGTTAGCTTATTGTTATTCTTGAATTAATGGTCGCTGATTATCGCTGTATCCAGTAGCATACTACGGTCAATGTTAGTTTTCCTTTGTGTCGTGTTACTTTTCGCCAATTATTTTCACTTTCAATTATAATGTTATAATGTCAAATTACTTCAGGCACTGTGCATAGAATAGCAAAAAAGAATGGTAAAAGTTTGGCGTTTCTAAAAGTGTGGCATTTTCGTAAATGTGTCAAAAGATTAAATACTATACTTCAGAGATAAAAATAAATAGTGGTTTATAAAATCTAAAGATATGGGGTGTAATCTTTAGCCACGCTTTCGGGAATATGACTCTTTTCCCATTCCGTTCTTTCTACGTACGACGTGTAGATCCCCTATTCTGGGCATAGCGTGTATTTAGGTTATTCATTTAAAGAACAACAGTCTTTAAGAAGCGTTTGAACAATTTTTATTTAATGAGGCAACGATAAACGCGAACTTATTGTTGGGCAAATTTGAAATGAATTACGTTTCAGATATTAGACAAATTCTTTTGCCACAAGCTTAATAATTCCTGAATTGCCGATACCTGATAATACCTGCGGTGATTGAAAGACTTGAAAAATATATATTCAGTATATTGGATAATGAAAAATTTAAATACTATCAATAGTAAATAATCATAGGATATCTTCGAGAAATATTTATTTTATATGGACAGGCTGGTTGAGTCATGCTATTGGTTACATTGTGCGAAACGTATTTTATCAAACACTTCTCTTGTATGTTGTAGACGTAAATTAACTGTTCACGCTGCACCGATGTTCCTTCTATAACAATTTATTCTCGCAAAAATGGCAAAAATTTAATTTATCTCGTATCTATAGATGTAGCTTTTTAATTAAACGTGCACCAATGATTATTTTATTATATATCAGACAAAATACGATTGAAATACCTATAATTGTGCAAATACAAATACTATAAAGTTCGTTATTGAAGTTTATCATACATTTACAAACGATTCTGTTAAAATCTATAGTTATTCGTACGTGTATCCGGATGGAACTTAGCATATATATTTTACCATAGAAAAATAGAACATATATGTAGCACAAAAATATTGTATGAAATTTTTGTTTAGTTTTACATCACACAAAAAGAAAGAATTTATTGGATTAAAAAATATACGCCATCGAACGCTGCTTTTAAATTTTCCACTCCGTCCTTCTCCTAGTTTTATATTATTTTTACAGGTGTTCATAATAGGGGGAACTTCCAACTGTTCCATTGAAACTTCTTTTTCATACGCCTACAGTGAAACCTTTCAATGGTTCTTACCTCGGGACTAGGGATCCTCAATAGTTGCATTTCTCCTATGCCCCCCTCTCAAGTTAAATTTTTTTCGCGTTGCGCAGATTCGCCATATCGTGTATCAGCTGTTTGGCAGATCTTATATCTTTGCGCTTCAATTTTTTTTGTGGGCTGTTTTTCGGTCTGGTAATAAGACTAATCGTACAAGATGGATAACTCGGAAAACCAATTCTCTCATTGGTCAAATGTGGTCATCAAAAAAAAGATAAGTTGTCCTGATAGAATAGTGACATGATAATTGATGGCCAATGGGTGATCTGATTTCACGAGTTATCCGTCTTATACGACTAGTCCATTCCCCGTGGGAAAGTAGCTTTACGATTAATTCTGAATCGGTCAATGCATCGCTATCGCGTCTTGTTTTAGCAGTTCGCCTCGCAATTGAGTTTTTGACGTAGCCCCCACTGATTAACTAAAGTTAACGAACAGATGTAATCCGCTACGTTACGATGTATAGGGGAATCTTTTTTAGTATTATAGGAGTGATTTATCTTTTTAATTTTGGGTGTTGTTCAAAGTTAAATATTCGCGCTGATGCAATATTGCCCTACTTCAATCCAACGGTCAGCCGTCGAGGGCAAAAAACGAGCTACTTTTACATATTCGGATAAAACTAAAACGGTGTAAGTTAATAATTTAATTTTGATACACGCACATTTTTAAACTGTATCAGCCTTTCATGAAGATTGCATTTGGCTATTAATTTTTCTTCGTCCTCACAACCAAAGTTTCTGGGTCTTTGGTACATCTTCATATAAAAGAGCAAATTTAATAATAAATTTCTCATAATTCGTATTGACCGCTACTTTGAAATTCAGAGACATCAGATTTTTTACTTATCAATAAATTGGATGGTGTAAACTTCAAATGACTGGTTATATTTCAAGGTAAGTTTTCAAATTCTTTGAAATTTAGCCTTTTCCTTACTCTTTCTCTCATTGCTGGACCTCACTGGACACAATATTGCTTACTCGAGAATATCCTTCACGCGATCTCCGAATCCACCGCCGTTTTTAGTCTTCATAGATTTTATTGAAGAAAAATAAAAATATTGGAATGGAAAAATGATTACGTTTATTTCTGCTTACATTTATGTGAGTGTTATTTTTATTTATTGTATAGATAAAGTCTTTTATGTTTAGAAACTTTGTCAATTTGGATTAAAAACTTTTCCAGCAAATACAATAGTATTTGATTTTTTGTCATGGATGATGTAAATGAAAGGACGATTAGCATGGAACTTCGGAGGCCGAGATTTATTCGCAAGTGCAGCACCTGTAATGAAAAATATAATTGTTATCATTAGAGTTTATTAAAAAGGAAAGGGACGATGTACAAGTAAATCGTAAGCATACAACAATATGATACGTCAAAATAGAATACACCAAGTATATAGATCACATGCAATTGGTACGCACGTAAAATAAAATAACAATTATAATTATAATTCTTTATCAAGTATTAGCCAAATCGTCCGTGAATGGTTGGCTAGTCACAACCAGATGTGTTTTCACTGACTGCTTATAAGCCTCATGCACTCATAAATATTATCTGTAGATAATTTCTACTTACACTTATATAATTTCCAACTAGAAGCGTTAAAATGTATTTTCAAAATATTAAACCTGTGCCATAAATGAAAATATAATTAAAATATAATAATTACCAGATGCTGCCGTTGCAATAGTACCCTCCTCGTCAACGACGATCACAGCCTTGTGTATTACTCTGGACAAGTAAATTTTATGAGGAGAAATAGGAGATAAATCAGCGGCGTTTTCATTGAACACATCTGTAAGCCCCATCTGCATCCAACAAATTATAAATTAACAAATAAATATAATTTATACTTTTTTAAATATATGTACATGAATACTGATAAATGATGAAAGACTATAAGGATATAAATTAATAAATATATGAAACCAAAATTTTATAGTGACGTCAGCAGACTTACATAGACATTACTTTAGCGACAAAAGTTATATTTTACCATTTACTGATATTCTATGGAGGAGCTAATGCACCGAAGATATTTGTTTTCTACAAAATTTTGTTTGAAATACATTAGTTCGTTATTTACAAATATTACTGATTATTTGTTTTCTTAATGGATCGTTTATTAAATACTGATTATCAGTTGATATGACCATTTTGGAGTATCATTTGGTAAAATCGCATATATACATCATTAGAAACTAAATGCCTCTTTACTCCAATGTCTTTGTGTACATAGTAAGTACTCTGAATAATCTTAAATGTGTTAATTACAAAATTTTAACAAAATTACAAAGGAATAGAAGGAAGATTTAGACACCTCGTCTATTTGTATTGTATATTTTCGCAAAGGTCGATCTTAGTCCCAAGATGGCGACTAAGAACGCGCTTTTAACTGCTTAAAAGCGATTGTGAATAGACTTTTCGACTTATCGCGCGCTACCAGCTGTTAGTGGTCTTGAGAGTGACCGTAAAAGAAGTTGTGAAACGGTTGCCTCTAAACCGACCATTAAATCATTTAAAAGCGCGCTATTAGCACTAAAATCTAGTTCTGAATATAGATTCTAAACTCCACACTGGTGCGAATTCCTACTAGCTTGTGTGGCAATTAAAGGTGTGTAATACCGAAGTGTGGAGTTTAAGGGTTATTAACCAAATATATACTGATAGCAAATAAATTCTAACCGTTTCAAGTACCACGTTCATGACGAAATCTGACGTCACATTAAAACGCGGAAGTCGAAGATCCACGTCATCCCCGAAGTATTCACTTTTAGATTGCGCCAAGTCATTTATGAGTCGAGAAAAATTTCTCTGAGGTAATTTTTCTAAAATGACATCTATACTGTTTTTATTCCCATGTCGAGGTAACATGACAATCATCGATAACCGATTTTCCTGAAACAATGAGGTAATTTTTTATTACTCAACTGGAACGCACTATATTCACGTATTGACTCTAAGATATAATAGCGGAATGATATACAGTCGATTCTTGAGCAAAATGTAATTTTTTTAACAGATCATAAACAATACAATCCTTAGTGAATCGCACGTGGCTTTCCATAAAATCACGGATATAAAAATATAATATATTTCAGTATAAAACCGTGGACATGCATGATTTTTTAAGAAAGATTGTATGCTTACCAGAGATTTTTTTTCATTTTTTTTTCGATCTGTCCAAAAAAAGATTTTAAATTGAATTTGGCGAAGTCTTTTTTATCACTGTACAGTCGAAACTCCTTATAAGCTTATATGAAATATGAAAATTATCAGTTTTTTTTTCAACAGCATTATAAAGCATTTCCATTCTCTGATAATTCGTTAGATAAGGTATTACTGTATGATGATCATAGTTGAAGCCATTGTAAATTAATGTTCTTATACATATAATATAATAATTATTATTATGAGCTACACTAAATGTTATTCAACAAAATATTCGAATGCTCACCTTTCCGTAAGGAATTTCTATAACATTCGCATCCAACTCTTGATCAGCTACAAAAGCATAAGGTCCTTGTGAAGACATCATGTCAACTTCCCCAATAGTCTTTCCATCTTCATCATAAAATGATTCTCTTGTCGTTAAATCCCGATCGAATGGAAGACTCCATTGTCCTTGGAAATATACGGCATTTGCCAAAACTAACTGGGCATCTCGTAAATCTTCTTCTAATAACAGATCAGGGATTTTTCCATGAGTGTTTAACTTAACCCAATCATTTATCACGCGAGTTGCCTCGACAGGCTTATGAAAATTTATAGAGATTGTTGGGCATTGGTACAGATGCTCTGCAGTAGATTCAAAATCTCTTTTCAAGGGTCTGTTTATGTCGAAGAAAATTGCCTTGACAAACTCCACTGAGACCGTCGAAGTGTTCACCTAATAAATAAATAAATATATATTATATACGTATTTCCTTGAAGTCTTTTCTTTACCCAGATCGGCCATCTTGAATTATAATGTCATACATATGTGGAAAAACATGTGTCTCTCCATTTATAGAAACAAATCAGTTTTTGGGATTTATCCTCGACTAATTATCTTCCTTATATCCATTGGCTGCGATCTATGCACCGTTTAAGGATTCTGAATGTGTTTAACCTTGATAATGAACAGCAAAAAAGATCGTATGTTTCTGTCATACGGCTAACATACGTCTCATACGTATTTGCAATTCTATTGCATATTCAATATACCTTTCACACCAAATGAAACATAAACCTTGACGTATAGATGAAAAATACCTCGTATTTTAAATTTCACGGCCAAGATTGTCCAATAATCGAAAAAAGCGAGAATTGCGATTTGTCTATTTAAACGATCTTTGACGTTATTTTTTGTGTTTAAGGAGGCACCGAATTTCTTATTTATCTTATGAGTGAAATCTCAATAAGAATCGCAAATAGTAGGATTTTTACAGAGATTATTTGTCAAACAGCGGAATTGAGCAGGCACTCTGTAAGGTTAACGATCATTTTGAAACTACTTTAATAATAATTAATTCAAGACTGAAAGAGTGATCCATTATTCTTTCAGTTTGGGTCAATTATTGCGAATGTGATAGCAAAATGATAGCTAACCTTGTAGAATATGTGCCGAACTCCACTTTGCGGAAAATTCTGTGTCAAAGTTTATATTTTACAAGGAAGGTAATGAAAATTATAGATATTATTTTATTCCGGTAAATATTATCACAGCTTAATTTCTTTACTCCACCCAGAACCGTGTCTTTCATTTTCGAATTAACTAGTTGAAAATGTGTTTCCTCTGGACAAAATATGAAATATGTTTATATTGCATACACAAAAAATACTATATTAAATGTGCGTTTAACTGCATTGACTGTTTAGACAGAGATATGAACTATATTACCGTAGTTCATACTTTTTATTATTATGCTACGAGATCTATATATTCACATTCTATCAAAACGTAGTACATAAATTATTTTCTAAATTCCGATCGGGGCACGGAAGAGTCTATTTTTAAAATATCTTCTAGTACATAGCATGAAATATTAATATCTTTGGACGTGTATATTATTTATTTACAAGTGTTTTTCTCGTTTAACGTCATACGTACAAGGACAATGAAATGTCTATAATTAGATGATTACTTTATTTTTCCGATTATAAACATTCTTTCTTGCCATCCCATTACAAGAGTTTCAAATTTTGTCTTTAGTTTGTGAATTGTCAAAAAAATGAAAAATACTAAACTTTAGAGATATAGTAATCTTAGAAAACGTAAGATAGGGCATGAAACATATGTTCTTAAAAGCTCATAAAAATATAAAAATTTATAGCTTTACTTTGTAATTTATTGAATTTGAATGATTTAAAATTAATGGATCTAATATGGAAATACTACTATAAATAATTAAGTATTGGGTCAGTCTTAACTATGAAAGTCTGATTATTCTATAATATTAGGTCATTAAGTATGAAATGTCCGATCATCTCAAGTACTTTCAGTTCGAAATCGGACATTTCATCCTTGATGACCTAATATTTTGCAGCACAGTAATAATCAGAATATAGATTACAGAAGAATAATGAGCATGACAAGTGTGTACGTGTACTAGCTTTACTTAAGGAGGTATCAGCACCATCACAATAATAGTATTCTTATTTCGATCAATACCCTGTATATCGTTCATTAAAAAATATTTCCTACGTAAGGTATTCCCTTTGAAACAAGTGGAAGAATAGAGATTCATCAATTTTTAGTTTTCACGTCACATATTGTTTATATGTATAAAGTAGTAAAAAATGAATAAAAAAAATTCTAAGATTTTTTATTAAAAAATCGTCGTAGTCATATATAATGTAAAAAAGCGCCTCTTAAAAATCTAATCCACTTTCAGCACCTAGAAGCTGAGATATCTCGGAAAAGAACATAGCTGTTTCAAGATATGAAGTATATCTATATAGGGCAATTTTTACTATTTTAATTCCTTATATCTCTGTAAGTAGATGGTTTAATAATACTGAAATTTCACTCAAGATGTATCCCATCATACTGAACGACATATTTTCATGACGAACTTCATTCTTTAATTTTAAGAAACGGAGTAGCTACCTTAATAAAAGAAAAACAAACGTGTCTTACCTGCAAGGCTTCATCTATGGCTCGATATCCTGCTATCGTGAGTCTTCGATCACTTGGTAATCCCAATACATTCATCAGTTGTTCATTTGTTTTACCTTTCGAACCTTCCCAAAGCAAAACCAATAAAGCCCAAATGCTAAATGGCGAGAGTACAAGATTTAACCTCGAGCCGGCTGCGTTGACAGTCTCCTGCATAATAATTGAATATGAAGATGCAAAGAATATGCGGTGAACGAACAATAGAACAATGAAGTAGAAAATAAAAGATGAGAGAAGTGAATCCAAACTTCACATTTGTGTGTATCCATTCGCATACGATATTCGCAGGGATGAGTTTTAGAACGCGATAATCCTTATACATTGATTATACAAGCTTTTGCCACATTGAAGTTCCTCGTATGTATTCAAATGCAAAGTACAATTTCTTCTTAATATTATTATAAGAACGTAACATCGCAATAAAATTAAATAAAATATTTAATAGAAATTAATAATGTTAAAACAGTGAAACAAGTTTCAAGAGCGCATAGAAAATTATTTTTTTCAAGAACATTGATATATGTATAACTGAATGTTATCTTGATTCGAATTTTAATATTCGATAAGGTTCGTAACACATGTCGCTCAATTATTTCTCACGTATTCGCTTTCTATGAATATAATATCAGTATTGAGATACATGTTACTTAAACAACAAAAATTACGTACCTTGAAGAGGTTTAAAGTAAAGTTCTCCAATCCTTGAGATAGAAGGATTCTCGATGGCTCATCTACGATTTTGATCGAGTTGCCTATATCATTTTCTATATTTTTGTCACCAACGGCGTATGGCAACTTTATGGAAAACAGCAGTAGAGCCACAAGATAAGTCCAACCTATAATCAAACGAAAAATATTTTTTTCACAAATTTTCAGTTCAGTATCCTTTGCTCGAGATAGTGTATATGTAAATCAATCCACACAAAAATTTAACTATAGGTGTCATTTAAAGAATTTCGAAGCTGCCTAACGCATTTTGTGGATATTTCTAGTAATCCATCATTAAATAAACTAAAAGCACAACACAATTTTAGGAACAATTAACTTTAATTGAAGTAAAGAACCAAGTCAATTGATATTTTTAATCCTGAAATATTTGCAATCGTCCATCCCGTTCGCATTGTTTTCACATCTCTTACTGTTGTAGATAGCCGGTCCGTAAATAAGATGTTTTCTTTTTTGACAGATCGAAAACAATAAGATCTTTAGCAAATCAGACTTAGCTTTCTATAAAATTGTTAGAAGTTTCTATGGAATATATGTTAGAAGATAAAATGTAATATATTTTAGTGTAAACCACGCACCTAGAAGCATAAATTGTATGCGAAGGTATGTATGATTTGCTAGAGATTTCATTATTTTCAGATCTTTTAAACGGCACATTTTACTCATGGCCAGAATATAACCAACACGGATGAATCACGTTTTTTTCATTAAGCTATTATGCATGCCGAACTGCGGCCAAGGCTGTCTTTATAACAGTGAAAGTAGTCTTTGGTATGTTGAATTCTGGTGGGAATCGAATTTATCTATGACCGTGTGGATAACTGTAGATCATCATCAAGAATCTCTTATTGATACTTTAATTTGGTAGGAACATAAGCCCACCCAAGGAGAAAGACGAAAGATTCTCATGGTATAAATTATGCTGGTTGTGCTAAGACTGTGTTATGCTAATACATTCAAATTATTTCCATGTTACTCTTGTACGTGGTCAATTAAAAAAATAGGGTATTAGCGTGAAAAGTGACTCCTGTTTATGATTCCAGGTATGCAGCATTTTGAATATTTAAGGAAATTGTGCTGTACGGATTTAATTCTTAAATCAAATAATTCCTGTTTTATTATTTGGCTCGTTGTAAGAAGAATCGCGTTATATGAAAACAGTAGTCGCGATACCTTTGGCACGTTATAGGAATTCGCGTTATACGGGAGTCTATTGTACTACCTATTATGAAAACTACTGTTGCTATCTGAGTGCACATGTTTAGTTAAAAATTGAAGTGATTTTTATAAAATAATGTACATCTATTGGTCGATTTGTGTATATTTCGCGATATATCCGAAATTCTGAACGAACCTCTGGACCGATCGGATTGAAAACTAGAATAAAATTTTTTAAGTTTTCGATATGGAGGAAACAGTAATACTTGTAGTTTGATAGTAGACCTCGCCACAAAATTGCATTTACGCGAAATTAATTTTGTTGGGTCGACAACTACATAAGATACAACCATGAGGTTCATTCAGACATGCCTCGAGTTAAACCAGTTTATTCTCATATATTAATTTGTCCTATAGGTAAATTCGATTTCGTAAACAAGGATGTACACTAGAACGAATTTTTGTATTAGAACAGTTGCGCAGGAAAAAAAATAATTATATACAATCAGTTTTATTTAGATATTTCCTAGAAATTTATGGGGGATTCCATGAATTTTACGGTCGATTCTGGGAATCGCACGCGACCGAGAACCTTCTAGAACATTCTAGAACCTTCTGGAAGCATCGACGATTCGCATCCGTGCTAAGTCGCGAAGGATCGCTTCCAGAGCAGGCGGTCCTCTCGCGCGACGTTTTAAGGCAGCCCCTTCCCCCCGCCCCAGAGAGCCTTCTAGAAGCTTCGATGAACCCGTGCATGTTCGTGCCGGCTTCAGACAGCAGCCCTCAGCCGGTTTGACATCGAACGTTATCTCGCAGAATTGCGCATCGCTGATGCAGCCCTGCAGAAAGTTTCTTTCCTAACCTTGAACTTTATCGCGCAGATTAGTGCGTATTTAAAGTACGACAAGCGGCATTCTCTTTGCGCGCAGTGCCGAAGAGCGGTTTCAAGAACTTTTGCGTCCAGGTTGATCCCAAGAAACGATACCCTCCCCATGCAGGTTTCGGACGGCAGCTTCCTCATCCCACGGAGAAGCTTCGCGAATTCCCCAACCCCCAGCCCCGTGCAGGTTCGTGCAAGTCGAAACTCTTCTCGCAACCTTTCTATAAGCGCAGTGGCGAGTTCAGTCATTCTAGAAAAATCTATATATCGGTTGTTCAATTGCGCAATGCCGAACGTTGTCTCGCAGAGCGTGCATAATGCAGTCGATAATGCAGTTCCTCATCATCCGAGGTGTCAAATTACTCGTAGGAGATACGTAAGCGCGTGACGCAATTTCGTAGGAGGAGGAGGGCTAAGGTTCATCCGAATATTCCAGGATGTAAGTCCCTCCATCTGAAAGATGCATGGACCTTGACATTGATTCCAGGAGTTTCAGTCGGCGGTCCGATTCCTAAAAATTTGCGAAACCTCCCATAAAATGTGTTGAATATTCATAAAAGCTGTGGTACCGTCATCTTTGAGCTTTTCTTTCTCTTTCTGCTCTACCGAGCAGACGTTATTCAGCACTATATGTACATATATTCACATAGCAAAAAGGTTCGTGTCTGAATCATAAAGACACCAATATCCGACTGTCCATATAGAGTTTTTTGAGGCAAAAGTATGCTGGTTGGTATGGTCTATGTAAATAAAAGATTATTCGAATTTTAAGATTATATTAGAAGAACAAAGAGAATATCTTCCGTGCACAGGCTTATCTCCCTATCAGGTCTGTATTGAATTTCTTAAATTTGAATTGCGATTACGCATAGGTATACATTGTGACGTTATTTTTTAACGACACAAAAAGTCCCGTATTGATAACCTCCGTTTTTCAACTTCGCGACGCATTTACGTCCCTTTTCCAATAGAATCTAATGCAAACGGGCAGGAACTCCAGGGTCATAGGCTAATTATTGAACACTAAGCTAATACCAAACTGTACAAATATTTCATACGTCACGACCACCCTCATCACCGGTACCGAGCCATCGAAACAACTAGAAAGCAACGAAGGAGGATAAGCAGCTCTTACGCCAAGGAACGTAGAGAGCTGCCATGTCGACCTGACGATTTTACCCTATATTGGACCCTACCCGGAAAAGAGTACGGAGGGTCACCCAAAAAGACAGCACAATGGACTTAACCTCACCTTTCGTTTTGTATCGCCGGTATCGACAGTCCACAGTATGTGGACTAGTACCGAAGACGAAGAAGTTTCGAGTTCCGCGAGGTTCCTCGTGCTGGATGTTCAGAGGGCTGCACAGTGGAGGCACCATAACTGACTTACCACAGGAGACAGAAACGACCAGACCTATCGGAGTCATCAGGATCCTAGCGAATATCGTCGAGGACAGGGCCCGTCTCATCGCCACCAGAGGCCACTAGACACCCCTGAGCTACAGCAGCGAGGCTGTGACTATGTTCCGCGTGGCTAGCGAGCTTACGACCCGACCCGTATGTCAAAGTGTTGCGTTCAGTCCGCGATTGGAACTTTTATTTTTCGCCATCCGGCCGAGTATCCTATCGAATATTTTCGGAATCCATCTCGTACGGGTAAGGCGATTGAGCCACAGATGGCACCATGGGCATTTATCTTGTAAGTAACAATTACGTATGGAAAATATTAGAATTTCCTAATGAATGATGTAATAGATATAACATATCTCATGTGTGAACTACTATACCTGTTAATAGGAAACTGTAGAATTGCCCATATGTAACTTTTAACTTGTGTCTACTGCGATATTAATGTGCATTGATTGGTATGCTAGAAATATATGTATACTGCTTCCTACGTGGCAATAAAATCTAGCGGACGAATAGCCATGAGTTAATAGCGAGATTTAGGAACGTCATAAACATTAAAACTGATTGGACCACTCACACCATTCTGAAAATTATTACTAGACTGCTTATTTACATTTGAGTACCACTGCTAATGTTATTACATGGTTTAAGTGTGATTACATTTGACGTTTATGACTATCTAAGAAAAACTGCATATCTCGTTCAATTCCATGAAGGTCAGTCGCGCTCTTTCGCGCGGTATATTGTCACTTTAATTGAAACACGAAGGGGCGACATTTACGTGTAAAACGCTTATCGCATATGTACGTAAACGCGACATGCAAAAGATGTTACGTAGTCTGATTTGCAGTTTAATTAATTAAAATAAATTAATAAATTTAGTTTAATCCTATCTTATTCCGTACTGTTAATTTGTCACGCTGGAACCGTACAGATGAGTAAATTATGTTCGATCCATTTTTCAATGCGTAAATGTGGCTTACAAAATTGGAAAAAATTCATATACCTTCTTTGATCCTTCTAAAGAATTACTAGAATAATAAATTGGAAAAATAATTTTTTTAGAAGGAAAATGATGATTCCACGACTTTTAACTTTCGACAAATCGATACTGTTAAAAATTATACTGACTCCGTAAAGAAATATTACATAGATACGCGCAAAAACATATGACTTTATATCTTTTTATTTATTAATATTTAAATGAGAACGATTAGGAATAACATAATTAGAACGAACATAGTACCAACTAAAATTCCTAAAATTTAATATTTCTTAGTTAGATTTCAACAATTTTTCACTTTCGTATTTTATCTCTAGTTTCCCGCTTATTTTTGCTATCCAGGTTACTGTCTTTTCTCCTCCCTTCTTCTCTTTTCTTGCCTTTTTTTTTCATTCAAACGTCTTCTTTTTATATATAATAACATTTTTTCTTATCTTTCATTTTCTCTTTATGTGTTTCTTCGCTGCAATTAATAATTACTGCCTTTTCGTGCAATCCATCGTCTCTTGTTTTCGGCTAAATATATATTCTTTTGTTTTTTCACATCTTTTCTTTTTTCTTTTCGCTATACTCTGTTTTTAAATTTCGTGATTCTGTGTCCTTTTTATTGCTTTTCTCTTTATGATTTCGGTCCGTATCTTGTTCGTCTTCTGATCTGTTTTCTCATCTTTTTTTGATCTTTGCTCGCTTTCAACTTTTCTGTCTCATTTACGTTGCTTCTCTGTGATAAATTTTTCCAATCCTTTCTCTTATCATTGATTTCCCCTTTATAACTTACATTTGCTCTCATTTCAGCCTCTTCTGATGTATTTCTTCTTGCTCCATTTTCTGTCTGCTTTTCTATCTCTGTCCTTCGATGACCTTTTTCCCCTCTTTTCTGATATTCACGACTTTGTTCTTCGATCATTTAAAAATTTAGAATAGATACGCTTTATGAAATTGTATTTGTTTAGAACACTCCAACGCTGCTGTATTTTTGCGTGCGCTAAGCGCACGTGTTTCTCTAGTCATTTAAAAAATTTCTTCTTCCAAATCATGCACTGATTTTTTATTTTTTATTCATTATTATATTTACCCGAATATGTTCTGATAAACTTTAAAACTTTTCGTTTGTCAGGGTTTTTAAGCATCATGCACATCTGTGCGATTTAGCGATTAAAATCAGTTATTGATAATTTTATATAATGTTTTTTTATTTTTGTCAACTATGCTATGAAGGGAAAGTCATAAAATCACCATTTAGGTAAAAAAATACATTGAACTCGTGGAGCGACTGTAATTACTGAGAATGCAGTTGTAAACCAATTGAAGAATCTCCTTCGTTCTCCTTATCATAGGTCTGTGTCATCCGTTTGAAATTATTAGGACCAATGATTATTTTTATTAATTTCCTGACACTAATTTCTTAAAATTTTTTTTTAAATTTTTATAGATAAATATAGAGCAAATTAATCATATTACCATTAATGCCACTTGCTAGTACATATAAGTTAACTCTAAAACAAATACATTTATAAAGTATTTCAGTACAATTCGAAAGTCAATTTTTCTTGTAAATGTTAACCAAATCATATTTAATTCATCTGAAATTTTAATCTCAAGAATATTTGTATGCAAATAATCAGTAGAAATAGAGAATATTTGTAATTCTGAACATGCACTATTTAAAACCCCAACTATTCGAAATCTGCAAACATTGTGTATAAGGTGTGCCGGCGTAGGGCCGTTAGTCACTCTTTCAAACTTGCCCATAAGAATATATGTATAACTTTTGCATACAAAAATTTACGGCGACAAATGCTTAAGATATTCTCGAATGTTCCAATGGACGGGTGTCTGACATTAACTACATATGTATGTCGGCTAGCAAATATGTCCTTTAGTGTAGGCACAGATTCTACTCAGCCTCCGTAAACGTTCTTTACATCATATGTAAACGAGGTAAGCCTCATTTCAACTTTACGTAAAAAAAAACATTTTTCGACTTAAAAAATGGGAAAGTATTATAATAAGTCTCGATACACTTCAAAAATACTTAAATTAATGGAACCGATCAGAAGAATTATTTGTTTATAAATTACAATAATGCTGAGTACCTGTGCTAAAATTTGGGCAGGGACGCAACGAGCGACGCCGTGGCGTTTCGTTCATGCACACGCTCTGTCGCTCGCACGGCCTACGGTACGTAAAAAAATCCTGCACACTCTCCTCTCTTACCTTTACACCATTAATGACGCTTATCTACATTCAAGATTACATTTTCTTTCAAAATTTGTATATATTTGTATATATTTCTAGAAAAATGAACTTACAAATTAAATTGATATGCCTTTAAATATTTTTGACAACCGAATATATTTTTCTCATTCACGTCATCACAATGTATTTATATTTTATATTTGTAACAATATACGTAGATTTGAATCCTTAGAACTTCTTTGATATATTCAGTTGAGCAACAAAAACTTGTGATATCCCCGCAAAAAACACTTACGTCTAAAAAAACTACAGGAGTGCTGTGAATTCCTCTAACAAAAAGTATTGAAATTATATTATTAATGCCAGGTACATAAGACACTACTATATCTGAGTTTTTTTTATTTTAATTACCTAGTTCAGCAAAAAAACGACACGATTCTAGCAATCCATAATTACACCGCCATATACCAGCAATAAATATGTGTGCTAATGTAAAGAATTAATCGAGAAAAAGCGAAATGATGTAAAATAATGGATCATGTATGTTATTTCATGAATGTTATTTCCGTCGCATGTGCTACAAGTTGTGGAAACTCAGTTCCTTCCTTCCTTTCCTTTATGGATGTATCCCCAATGGGGAACATGTGCCTATAACTGATCCTATAAAATCAAGTTTGGAAGTTTAACACTAGATGGCGCTGTACTTCGCGAGACAGGTTATATGTAATTGAGGAGTGTGTAGACCTACAGAGTTTATATACCGAATCCAAGCAGAGTTTGGCGAAATCCGTATGATTATTCACTTAGATTTTCTTATGAAAACCTATTGATGAATGCCACTGGGAGTTGGGTGTGAGCTCCGAGAATCTTTCAGTCCTGAATCCGCTACCTTAACCAATGAGCTACGGTCGTCTTGGAAATGCGGTTTATGCGACCAAAAAGTTTTTGCATTATACAGTCATTGACCATGCACAGCCGTTCCACACGAGAGGCCATTCTGACTGTCTCTCAGATCGTGGCAACACCGCCGCCTTATTACGTCTTTTACTGACAATGAGTTAACCGTGCTGGCACAAGTAGACAAAGTTTTGGAAGTGAATAGCTAGCAATGTCGAGCTAGTTACGTTATGAAGGACGATTTAATAAAAGAAATATCTTGGCTAAATACTGTAAAACTACAATTATGCATACGAAATATTATGAAAAAAAAGGAAATAAAACGTTTAATTGAGTTTCATGATTCATACTTTAAAATTATTTTTGGCATGAAACTCCAATTTTAATGTTATTTCATTTACCACGTGATTCGGTACATAACGTGCGATCAAATATTTCAAATATACCGCTCGATTTACGACGATCAGTCTCCTACACACTTGCCAGATCCTCACATTCTTATTTATCCCCTCCCGTACATGGAACATAAATTTTGAACTTGCAAGGGCCGTATTTTGAAATTAAGAAGAATCGTATTTTCAAATAATATGAATCATTAAATTCATATAGATTTTCTGTACACTGTTTTTCTATTCAATCGTTTTCTATCGTGATCTGACATTTATTTCGAACACTATAGTTAAATATCATCCTGTGCTACTAGTTTGATGTAGGCTATACGTGCAGAAGAAGAAAACTTTCAGAATTACCTCGGCTTTGGATTGGTCAATGTTCTTTTAATTGCGCGTGCATATAATGGTATCCACTGTAATTGTATTAATTAGTAACCCATTAATAATAATGAGTACACACAAATTTTCGAATTTTCCACACTTTCAAGTCAGCGATACAACCGTCGTAAGCGTGACGTAAAATGTAGTCCAATGAGCATATACCTATAAATTCATAAAATCTTAAAGACCCGTGCTCATTGACCTACACGTTATGTTTATAGAACTCTTAAGTGCATTGGCCTGTACATACACATATAACTATGCAATATTACTCGCTCTTCGCATTCATTTCGAACTCGAAGTACAGTGATTCTCAAGCAGATTAAGTTTAAAATAGCATACACTATTTGGGACGCAATAGGTGATATTGTCATTATCATTAATACAAAAATATATTATAGTAATCTAATATTAATAGAAAAATTTGCACAATAAAAGCTAATTACTTCATACAATTGTTTCATCAAATAAGTATAGTTATGGAAATAAACACGGATATATGCAATGCAAAAAATAACGAATATTTTTTTTTTAAGAAAGGACAATCGAATGAGGTACGTGTATACATTTTTTAAAACGTTATACATACACATAACAGTTTAAAAGATCGAACAAAGTATCAAAGACATGAAAAACATTGTAAAACTAGAAAGGATAGCAGCGTAGATTGGAAATAAATAAATGACAGCGCAAAAAGATAATACAGAAGAGATGCTGATACTCACATGTAGATTCGAAGAATTTCATTTCCGGGTGAGTCAAGGAATTTTTAACTAGTTAATAAGAACCGAGGTATTGACAGAAGCAGAGTTCATTAAATGTCGAAAACATTCACGGATCTGAAGGCTCTGGAGTCATTACAAGCACTGGTGGCTGTGCGAAGAACTTCACTATATGCTACGGGAGAAGTAGCTGATAATGAGAAATAGTCAGCGTCCTCCACGTGAAATCCCCACCATCCGCTCTACACCATGATACACATATCTACGTGTAAATACAGTTTACACGACTGGAAATTCACCATCCCGTTAACTCTTCTTTAGGAAATCCCAGGCTCTAGAGAACTGTGACTCAAATCAATTACCAAATGCCACGCTCCTTCCGAATCCTCACAGCATTTTATATCCATAGGATATCCATAGAATGTCCATGATGTCTAATGCGAATATTCACTGGATATCTATATCCAGTTATGGATATCCTATAGATATCCCAAGGATATCCAAAGTTCCCTCTTTTGTATATTTAAATTTTTAAGTTTTTTTTTGGTCGGCATAGAAAAATTATTGAGCCTGATACTATACGAAGTGTGTGTCTCATGAATAAAAAATTATATAATCCTCATAAAAACATTAATAGTGCGTCACATTTTATTTTGAGAGCTGGATGCGAACCCCGAACCTTTCGATCGCGAACCCGCTACCTCAACCATTGAGCTACGGTCACCTCTTATAAAAATCATTACAGTGAGCACACTATTAACTGCATAAGATCAATCAATTCGTACACGTGCTGCTCCATTGCACTCGGAGGAACACGAAAGAGGAAAGGATAAATGGTGAGAAAGTAAACAATTAAGGACCTCACAAAACTACATCATTGGTCAATCTGATAATATTCCGCTAGTGCCAACGAATAGTGAAACTTTCATATGACGACGTAAAACTTGACATACAACATGGTTAACTGGAAAGCAAGATTCTTTTGTTACGACTTCCATTCTTTTAAAGATATGTTAATGCAAAACAAACTACTTAATGCCCTTGCCATCTACTGATTTTATATTTAAGATACATTATTGTTTCTGATACATGTATTTAAAAAAATGTATGGATTTCCAGAGAAATTACAGAATATCCACAAGTGAGAACATTGGATATCTTATGGATGTCAATTTAGATATTAATGATATCTTCTGGATATCCTATGGATATCTGCAGCCAAATTGGGATATCCTATGGATATCAAATGCTGTGTGGGTTTTTTCCCTGTGGCTATCTTCTTTTAATTACGCTTTGACACGAAAATGGTTTGGTTCTTGCTACATATAGCTTTTGTATCACGTACTTCTACGTAACCTCTGTTCAGGTTAACTTGTAAATCAGAATACGTATATGCATGTACATAAAATATCACATACTCGTTAAATAATTTCATTTGAATAATTATACCATATAAAAATGTAATGAACATATCCAAATATACACAAAAGAGCGGATCAGTAATGGATTAGTGATGGTTGAGTATTAAGCTGCTCTTATGTGTGTCCTAGGATTTTATAGCCTGTGTATCTATATAATGGCTAGGAGCTGCTGAAGAATACGTTAAATTTCTTCGATAAACCACTATAAGATATAATTGATGTCCATGACTGTTATTTATTGCATTCTACGAATGAAATCATCTTATAAAATTTATTAAAACCAGCAATAGTCATACCATGAGAATTTTACATTAGCGGTCAACAATTCAAAATCACAGCTAGAAGAATTTAATTTTCGACCATATCTTTAAGGAAAATAACTACTGGAACACATTACTCAAATACATTAATACAATAAATACAATGTATGCACAACATATGTTGTAAATAAAATTTGTTATTGATTATATCTCAACATTATAATTCACTTGGTCTACATTATACTGAGCATCGTATTTTAAAAACAATAATATAATAGTGATAATTTTGTAGTATTTCCTAGTAATTTTCTGTAAGAGCAAATGATTGTGTACTTTTCAGTTGTCGTTTTTAAAATACAACCTATGCAATATATATTTGATACAGTCGTTCCTTAACGGATCCGGCGACTGCGAAATTAACCACCGTTTCACGGTGGTTTCCATTACGGTGGTTTCGTGCAAAAAGAATACCAAAAATTTCGTTTGAAACATTATGCAAACCACCGTTCCTCCTTTTCTCCAAAATCAGCCGATCTTTCATATGGTGATTTCGACGGTGAAAACGGCTGAACAACACATTAGTCAGAAAAGCTCAATAATCTGATGGTTCCTCGTTGTACCATCAAACAAACCGATTTCAGTCTCGACGATAAAAACTGGCTAATAATTATTAATATACAACACATAATTTGTTCCCTCATTTCTTCGGTGGTACAACGAGAAACCACCAATATACTGAATTTTTCATATTGGTGGTCTGTTCTGTCGTTTGTCCAGTGTTACAAAGAGAAACCACTAAAGTACAGCATCTTTCTGACTGGTCGTTTTTTTCGGTGGTACAACGAGGAACCACCACGTTATTTTGAGCTTTTCTGACTAGTGGGTTGATCAGTCGTTTCCACCATCTGAAAGCTCCGCGGCTGATTTTGGGGCGGGGTTGAGGGGGAACGGTGGTTCGCGCACTGGTTAGGATAAAAGGCTTGGTATACTTTTTCACAAAACTACCGTAGTGATTTCGAAGGTGGTGTGGTCGGTAATAGGATCTGCTAAGATTTGACTTTTCTGACAGACTATTTTTATCACGATAAGTGTCTAAGTAATAAATTCTTAACGTATCGTTTAATTATAGTGTTATATTTTTATTACTGGTCACATATGATTAAAAAACTGGAAATTATTTAATCATTTTACAAACACTAGTATGATGTCAATAAAACATGCTGAAGACGCGAGACAAGCGTATAAAAATAAGTGAATGATATGTACTAACCAATTGTTAAAATATTTATAATAAATAAGGTTAATAATTTTCAGTAATAAAAACGAGAGTCTGTAAACGCTTTTGTTAAAAATAATTTGACCTGATTTACAAGGTTGTAAATTTGATGATTAATGAATCGGAAAAATGTTTTTACTAAAATATTTAAAAATCTTTTAGTTCATACATACTGTTGTTAAAGTATCGTCAAAAAGTGTTCCACTTATGAATATTTTTGGTTTTTCAAAATGGAATCTTCGTAAATTTCAATTTATTTAGATAGGGCTGAAATTTATAAGAAATATTTCAAGTGTATTACGCAGATGAGAAATGCTAAAATTCGAAGGTTTAAATTAATTTCAAGTTTACAGTAGCACGTTGTGACATTCTTGAAGACGTTATACACTTTTTATCTTTCAATATGTTAATTCGATACTACGTAATATTTCGAGTATAGTATTGAAGTTTATCTCGAGTCGAATAAATGATACATATGTATAATTCGTCAAAAAGCAATTGTAATGGTTCACATAAACGAAATAAATCTTTAGTTGTCAATTGCATATCCAATTTCAGATAAAGTCAAAGTATTAGAATGTTTTCACATCTGATAACAATAGGGCGTCAAGTGCTGTCAATTATCAGAGAACTTGTCTCATTTCTACGTACTTGTTAGGAGCAAAGAAATGATAAACCGTAATGTATACTATGCATTTATTAATTATTAATATTATTATAATTAATAATATATATTGTATATTTATAGATATTTATTGATTTATTTATATATTTATATGATTACTTATACTTAAACGTTCCGTATGTATATATGTATAGTCGAGTTTATTTTTCAAGGTATTCAGGCATTTTATAATTTATACCATACGAAAAAGTGGTACAATAAAGATATATAAGTATACAGTTATGTATAATTATATATGTTTATTTAACAAGAAAGGACAAATAATATAAGTCGGACAGCAATGTCTATTCCTAAATTAAAGTTGTTCGTACGAATTAGACTTTTGATAAAAAATAAACTGTTCAGGAGAACGTAATACGCTTGGGATAATATGTTGTTAAGAAAAACATTTTTGTCAAAATAGCGTGCCAATGTAACTATTATCCGTTGAAAGTTCAACATAAATTGTTTTAAAGAAGATACAATAAATGTAACTACTCTAAATATTGATAACTTTTAAACAATCAGAGTAATAATAATTCAGACTTTCAAATTGTTTCTTGCAAATAATTGCAAGCACTTAATCACAACATCATTCTTTCAGACAGAATTATTTGATCAGATTTCTAGGAGTCATAAAATGTAAAGAAAACAAAAAATGTAGGTACAGGCATTGTAAAGTTATTGTGATTATGGCTATCGATGTCTGAAGTGAATAATAATCATACTTAATGATAATTGTAGTCCTTTTCATAATTGAGATTTATCTTCACTTCTTCTACACACAGTTTTGCGAAAAAGATATTTACAAATAACTACATAAAACTGATCTTCACTTTCTGCAACAATAATCATACCTGAACATTTACACATTGCCACACAATTCATTAAAAACAATATATGATTGCCTTACGAGACTCTAAATGTTAGAAGTAAAAAATCTGTAAAAATAAAATCCCATTACTGGAAATGCAAAGGCCTGAAAATAATGCCGATCTACGCAAATGAACTAATTATCTGAATGAAACATAAAAGCTACGTGCCCATCTTCAATTCTTGAATGCAGAAAATTATTCATGTTAATTGTTTACTAATAAAGATGTTATAGCAAGTTCGATTAGTTTTCACGAAATATCATTTAAAAACTTACTAATAATAAACATATTTTTCATGTTTTTATTAGATATTTAGTTATTGGCTCCATTTCATAAATTACAAATGCTTAAATTTTATCGGTCTGTTTCTGATTATGATTCTTGAATATAATTCAAATTTTCTTTTAAACCTTATCTAAATTTATTAGACTTTTTAATCGAATGCTAAGTTTACCCACATTTAAAAATGTTCAATTGATTCATTGCAATATTCCCAGAGCGAACACACTCGTGAAGCATCGGAAATACTTTATATGTACAATCGCTTTTGTAACTACTATTGCAATGACGTAGAGTTACACTAAGGACAGATAGCGGTTCACGAATTAAAATGTTTTCTACATTATAGCTGCAAGCGGAGAGATGAATACACTATACGATTAACGAAATTTGATCATTTGACAGTCCTGAATTTATTAATTCCTTCATTTTGAGGTTCGTTGAATTTAATTAATTTTATAGAATCTTCCGTGTGAACATGCATGTAATATATCTTCTATTGAACATCAATTTCTACACTTAAATAGATGCTTTTGTCAATAATCCCAATCACATTACGTCTCCCTTACAGATTCTTTCTAAAAGTGTATCGTTACGCACGTTTGCTTACAAATAAATTTTGCTAACTCTTGTTGTTATGTTCTTACATACCGGGTGGATACTGACTGAACGGCAAATTGAAAAAATTCCTTCGCAAAAATTTCTTTAGGCTGCAGGAAAATGACTTTTTATATTTACAGAACAAAAGCAATGAACATTTCTGTTTATAAAATAATAAAAAATGTAATTTGTCGTGACTTTTTAACCTCTAAACCTCCGAACATCTTTATATATATGCGGAACGAGTTTCTAAACATTTTTGCTTATTCAAATAAATTATACAGGGTTATTCACTACAAACGTATCAATTTCGTCGCAATTGAACGATTCCGTTAGTCGAGGCAGTGTGACCTTGTTAAATAAATGAAAACTTCTTAAGCTCATCATGTTAATAATGTTATGACGTAATATTTCATTTCTTTGTATTACATTGTTTTGATGAAATCACCCATTTGTCAACTTCAGCTTGTACGTTTCCCGTGACTAACCCTTTATATCACTTAAATATATCGAAAAAAGTGCGGCGGTCTAGAGGCTAATCTTCACGAGACATCGGCCTTTTTTCATAGCGTTTCAAAGTTCATATTCTCTTATTCATATTTAATATTTTTGCAGAGCGACATGTCCGTAAAGGCCCCCACAGACCATAGCATTCGCGATCGCAGTGGCGACGGCGACCATTGTCAGCCGTAACATATGAAAACAAGGGATAGCGTTATAACTAGTAGAATCTTCCTACAGAACACAGCGGTCCGGTTGGCCCTTTTCCGGTTAACCCGTGTACCGCATGTCGCCTTATTTCATCTTATACACAACAGATTCTAAATGGTTAAAATTACTGAGAAACTCCTGTCGAAAGCTCCCAATTCAACTGACATCTGCATTAACATTTTAGCGGCGACGGGACATTACGGTTTTGATGTGATTGGAAAAATCGCAACCGCCACCGCAATCACGTACTCTGTGAAGACCTTAATTCTTTAATGCCCGAACGTCAGCGTTTACCCCAAAGGAACTCAGATGGGCAATTGGTCAATGGCATTTTATCTTCCGATGCTAAGACTGTGTGTTAGTGCATCATTAAGGAAGGGATGGGAGGAGCTAAATACTCCTACTTCACGTTTTTGAGGAAACTGTAGCGAACCAAGAGATACAAATCATAGTTACAAAGGTGAAAATGGTGAAATTATTCGTCGTCCTATTTCAAATATAAATAGGACGACACTGTCACAACGTTCAGGCCCATGCACTAACGTCAACGCAGCACTGTACGCGGATTAAAAATTTTCTCCTCATTATGCCTTGCCGCAAAGTAAAAAAACGTTCGGTTGTTGAAGAGTTAGATTTAAATAACTTCTAATACCCCAAAGGTAAGTATGCACTTTCTAAAATAATTCCTGTTCACTTAAACTGAAAAGTATATACATTTGTCCACCAACTCATCAGTTTTCACAACAGATACCGAGAACAACGAATAACTGATGATATTTTCAATAACATAGATCGCTGGTTCAATAAGAGCGACTCTTCGAAGGTAAAAATCTTTCCATTACGGAAACTAGCAGCCGTACTTTAGACCTGATCCATTGATATATTTCAGTATTAGACCAATGAATCCACTGAGCCGTAGCTTTGAGTAAGAGTATTTTCCGAAAGAAAGAGAAAGAGGGGGGAGAGAGAGAGAGAATTCGAACTAGTGGAATTGACAATACTCTCGACGATTCGAACTCTGAAGAAGTTACGATGACAATCAGAGGACATTTAATTCTGTTTAAGCTTAGCGAAGTCAATCTCCGCATAGTTGAAACCTTCTTGAACAGCGGCTGGCGAAACAGGTGGTATACCCCCAACTTCCGGCAAGTCTAAACTGGCATAATGAAGAAGTGTCGCGCCTGGTTGTAGTTTTTCATAGCCTTCATTGTCCAGTGGACTGGGCGTCGGAGTTGGGGTTGGTGTTGGCGTTGGTGTCGGAGTAGGAGTGTCGTCAAACATCTTTGGCGATGCTGATTTCGCTTGGTTTGACTTAAATCCCGGGGGCGTCGGACTTGTTGCCGGAGAAGCAGTAACCAGTCTTGGCTTACTCACACTTAAGTCCGATAGTCTCTTTGAAAGTGGACTCAAAGAGTGGTCCTGCGAAACCAAAGACGATGATCCCGTCGATATTATTCGCGATGTATCCTTGACCATTGCAGTTGGTATATTACTCTCGGAATTCTCCATTGGAATAGGAATTGGACTCGGCACCGAGACTTTTCTTGCTCTCATAACCGCATATTCGCTACTCGAAGATGATTCGCTTGTCGATGGTTTAATCGATTCTGCTTGAAAGAAAAAAGGTTTCATGGGTGATTGAGGACTGTTTAAAGAAAACGGAAAAATCGTCGATGTAGAGCCCGTCGGTGTGGCCCTGGGTGGTGATGCTGGTGTACTCCCTAAGCTTTCAGACATTGGACTACCATTGAGTGGTAAGAAATTCGGGGTTTTCGTTGAATTGCTGCTGGCCTGAATCGCTATTGGCTGAGAACGCGATTTTTCTTTACGGCTGCCACCTCGAGGTCTCGGATAATTACGTAAATTTATTCCCATATTCATGTTTATGTAATCCTGCTCAGGGCGAGCCTTAAATGACATTTCCACGTAACCTTCAGGAGGAGGTCGTGGCTGAGGCAGATCCACAGGTGCTGTCCTCGTTCCTCCTAGATTACATAGAAATAATCGAAATTTGTATATCTCCCCATTAAATATTTTTTCAATATATAGAAACACGATATCCGAGAGACGTAATCAATTTACGATTTATTAATACGTAATGAAGTAGCTTACGTGGAATTGAAAGACAAATGGTATTAAAATATTACCTGGTGGACCTTTCATCTGAATATAATCCTCCTGGGCAGGGGAAGGAGCTTGTTTAGGACTGGTTCCAGTGCGAGACCAATCCATGCCAGTCATCCGCATATAAGGACCTTCTGCTTCCTCCACCGGTTTCAAAGTTGTAATTACCGGTTTTAAGATAGAAACCGACGCTGGTGCGTGGCTATGATTATGATTGTGATTGGCAGTGGTAGTATTGTTATTGTTGTTTCTATTGGCCTGGAATGTAAACAAAAAAGCTGTAAACATTTTATACGAAATTATTTTCTATTATAAATAAACAGATGACTGCTATTTAATCAATCCTGAATGTCTTTTTCAATTGGACTACACTAGCTCTATTCGGTTTATGTGTTCTTTACTATCACACGAGGAAGAGAGAGACTGAGATAGACTTAATGGAGCTGGTGCAGTCATTGTAGGTCCAAGAAAAAACTAAATAGATATAGTGTGATAATATGAGAAACGAGACAAATTTTATAGTCGTTTGTTTCAATAAATTTGTCTAACTAGTTTCCTCTTAAATGGATTAAGATATTGAACGAACATCGTCTGTCTTGTGACAAGGAAGCTGACTGAGTACATTGGAGACAATTGTCAAAACCATGAAGCAGGCGTAATTGTGTTCTCTATTCCAATTTGATATGTCCGAAAATATATTTTTTATGAATGTTATTTCTAAAAATAAAACTTTTTAATCCTAAAACAAGCTTTTTTGTTGTATAAGACCCGTAGGAATTAATTCAAGATAAAAAAATAATACTAATTATAAAAATAGCTTTCTCGCTTCCCACTTTAATAATTCTACTATATACCATACGGGCGGAGGGAATCGATGTACAGAATCAATGCAATAAGTTGGTAACATCTAAGAATCGCCATAATATAGTGAAGTTACATTATTTGGTACATAATAGCGAATTACTTGATACAGAAGAGTAACTTATTTTTAATTCTTATAGTTTAATATATATTTGAGACTTAACACACACACATCGTGCTGTGCCATGCAAATTTTATATAAAGCCACGTGTAACCTAAAGAATTGACTATTTCCAATTTAAAAAAAAAATATTTTACGTGTGGACTCATGGAGCTGATAAAAAGCAGTCTCAAAAATATGACTTACTAACACTTCTGACATGAGCATAGTGCCGCATAGCATGTTCCTGCGTACCGTTTATGCAACATTTATTAGCTGCCCTACATATGTATTAGATAGAGAGAACTTTTAGTGTCAATGAAAGCGCAAGCTGCTGTATGTTTAAAAAAAATTAAAACTATTTCTGTTAAATACAAATTTTTCTTTGACTCTAACTGAAAACAGTTTAATATATATAACGTATACCTTATTAATGCCGCTCATATCAACATAAGGGGCAGTGGTTGAATGTGGCGGTTGTCCAGGTGACATATCAACGTAGGAACTGGTATCGGAGGCAGTGGAATATGAGTGCGTCTGCAATTGCGATTGTGATTGCGATTGCGATTGTGATTGTGATTGTGAGTAAGAGGAGGGTGGCGACGAGAGAGTCGTAGGAATTCCAGGCCGAGTGAAATCTAATTCCATGAGATCTTCCATGCGTTCCGATGCACCGGAACATCCGGAATTGTGACCCCAAGAACTGGATAGCAGAGGTGCTGAGTTCGATTTATTGTTACTCGAGTTTTCACAACTGACATGTAGAGGTGCCGTAACGACGCTAGCCAGTCTTGCAATTTCTGGCCTCTTCGAGCGACTTCCTACAGAAAAGGCACGAACTCTACTTGCTTCCTGCGCCGCTATATCTAATCTGGAACAATTTGAAAAATTGCAATTAGTTTCAGCTCTATGAGTTACTTTTTTTTTGTACTATACAATATACATAGCAGCGCAAGGTAACGATCTATTATAAACAAGAAAGATTCAACATATTATTAGTGGTATCCACAAGTAATGTGGTTCTATTAAACTGTTAAATAATTTGAAAAAAATGACATTCCATATGGACACCCCGAACAAAATGGGTCGATAAATAATGTGAACAGACATTCGGAAGTACTTTCCTAAATAGCTAGAAAGGCGCCATGAAGTTAATGTGAATGAAGTGAACCACTGTAACACGCCCCTGTATATGTAAAATTTCCGGTAACATAGTGTCTTTACTGCAAATTTCAGTGTTTTACATTTTAAACAAAAATGTTTTGTTCTAAATGTTGGGATACGTGGGAATAACAAAACAGTTGTAAATGTTTAAAAAATGTCCGCCATAGAAAGGATAGGTAATAACACAGTTCATAAAACGCTTATCTTTGCAGTGCTGTACATCGTTATAAACTTGAATATTAATTTAATGAATTTTCACTAATACTAGTAATCTTCGCAATAAAAACCAAAGCATGATCTTTAGTAAACAAGCTATCCTCTATACAAATTAGGTCACAGATCCCACATCTAAATGAAATACAATGTAAATGCCTGGTGTACTGCACTGTTTGGTTATAGTCCAGCATTTCCTAGGTTAGGTTGGATTATGCTACATTTATAAACAACCGAATTGTTTAACGCAATGTTGAATTTCGAGCATTGCTAAAATTTTCCTTATCGCATTCAGAATGGAAATTCATAATGGTAACTTCATTTATTCCCGCTTGAGATATAAGACAAATTATTTAGTCCTTATTTCACAATTATGTATCTATTGTGAGGAAACGTATTTTCTTTAAAGCTGAGTAATTGCTTTTATATTATTTTTGTATTATTGAGAATTGCTAGGCGGAACTCCATCCTAAACCATAAACCTGTCCTTTACTCCTATGATTTATAACTTACACTGTTTACGCGTACAACAATAACTCCTTTCATATTTTGTAAAAAAAAAAGTTTCACTCTTTTCATCTTAAAAGATGACCTATATATTCCCTAATATTCTAGAAGGTATTCATGACTCCACCCTATCTATTACTTTGATTTGCAAGATCTAAACAAACTATAAGTTTGGCTGATAGTACAATATTTTACTAATAGGATAATTTTTGTATTAAAACGTTCCGTGCCGCGTGGGTCTTATACGCCCCACGTTGCCTGATCGGAAAGTAACAAAAAATTGGTCCGCCACGGAACATGTTACATAATCCTAAAAAGTACCTGTTTTTACGATGTCTATTAGTTGGTTCTGGTCTCGATCCCACAGAATACGCCCTGGTCGGCCTTGCTTGGAGATCTTCTCCAGGTGCCAGGAAGCTAGTGACTTTATCAAGGTGATACTCTGAAAACCTAAGATCAGTACTAGGCGTACCCGACGTGACGGAGCAACTACTGCCACCATGTTGAGACATATCGTCAGGAAAATGACCATTGTGTCCATTCACAGGATCCATGTCGACGTAGCCATCATCGCCGACAGGTGCCATGTGCACATAGCCGTCGGGAAGAGTGTTCGACTCTTCAACCAGAGAAGATGCTCTCGAGTGCGAGTGAACAGTTGTTGCAGGACTCATGGTCATGTAAGCCCCACCACGCCCGGGGCTTGAACTGCACGGGCTGTACATGTCCACATAGGAACTCTGCTGTCAATGTTTAGGATCATTACAACCGTAACTAACTTCTGATTTAAAACTAAGTACATCGTTTTCAAAGCATCGATTTTCCATAGACCGAATACGGATAATTCAAAATACTTTACAATTATTTTGGTTATTTTTTATTATTTTTGATAGTCCATCCAGAATGTGCAGTTACGTGAGAAAAATTATGCCAATAAGTCATTTATAAAAGTGTATCGACCAACGTCATGTCAATATTAGAATAAGATTTGGCATATACCACATACATATAGATCCGACAAAAAGTGCACCCTATTCGGCGCCATTTTTAGGGCGCCTAACGATATCCCTCCATGGAAAATCATAACAGGTTGTCGTAAAGTAAACTGAACTCAGCAGCAGAACTGTATTAACAGAGCATCAGGAGACAAGATATTCCCAGGTCAAATATCATTAGAAAATTTAATGAATAAGATAATGAGATATGTGTTCTGCGGAGCCACAGGGGATGGGAAGACAAGTTAAAGTCCATCCACGATTAATCTTTGAAAAAAACATTTCTCAAAAAGATTTTGATTCTACTGTGCAGCCTCAGCAATTTTCCCGACTAGAACAGGATAAGAGAGGTTATAACCTAGCGCGCTTAATAACACAGTTGCGTCTACGCTGTGCTCGTCGCATCTGTAAGTAGAGAAGCCAATCCTGGCAAAGTTCGAGGAGAGGCAGAAAATTAGAAAGTTCCAAATTAGGGAGACGGGACTGTAGTCGCTCCAAAATTGCACTTCTGCCACTGAAATTCATTCCCTTTGAGATATCCTGTATAATGATGAGACTGATGCGTATTGACGAAGAAAACACTCACGTGTTTTTCCTTTTGAAATAATAAAAGAAAAATAAGATTAGGCTAACGTAAAAACCAATGCTTTAGAAAAAGAGGCGAGGCCTTAATAATGAAGAGAGAAAAATATATCCGAGAGCACAAAATACTTACCTGGGAAGGCGAATGGGACTTGAAGTTAGGCGAGTATTTATGATGCTGGTGTCTGGTTGACCATGGAGCATAATCATCTCCATTTTCTTCCAGAATGACGGGTTCATCCGGGGTGAGAGAATGGCCATACCTAGAGGTTGGAGCTTCCTCTAGGATATTCTCGGCGCCATCGTCCATAGAGAGCGAGGATCCCGCAGAGTCCGTGGAACAAGCCCCAGAAGCAGGACTTATCGGCATCGAAGACACCGGTGGCGAATAGGAAAGTCCTCTTCCATAGATCGACTGAGGTCTGGGTACATGTGGTACCAAATGAGGTGCTCTGGGATGGCCCAAAACGGACGTCGGATGACCTTCGCTCGTTGTGCGAGCCCTCGATGGTAAACTGTCGCATCTATCTCGGATGTTCGTACCTGGAAAAATATAGATTAGCTATTTCCACATAAAATTTTTCAAGCAGTCGAAAGCAGAGACCGTCATTCCAGCATAGCGATGGTTAGTAGATGAATTAGATTTATAAAGATATGCCCGCAAATATTAATACACATGTAAATGAAGTATATGCCATGTCAAGCATTGGGCAATGATCCCAGCGGCAAATAGATGCCCTAAAACATAAATTTTGACCTGCGAGACAACTAGTAGGGGCAAACGATTGATTCAGCAATAAACTGGTAAGTGCCAATCATTGTAAACAGATAATACTGACTGGGTTGGATCGCCAAGATCAACAATATCGATCAATCCAATCGCCAGTTTTCTGTTTCAATTATTAAATTTCCCGAGTCTTTTCTGACAGGCGAGCTTGCGATTCGCTGTTCATTCTGGAATTGTATGCAATGACGTATTATGTATTTCGCTGCAAACATTTATGTGCATCGGCGACCGTGACAACCAATATTAAGACATACATATAAAATATTGATAGACAAATTATAAGGCAGCCAACAAAGAAATAACATATAGCAAATGGACAAATTGTATGTAGGGAAAAGGTGTCTGAGATGGAATTCATTTTTACGTGTTACTCGCTATGTGGTCTTTGACAATTTTCCCCTATGGATGGGTAGGGGTATGGATGGGTGTTTGACGATGAAATAGAACTGAAGGGCAACGAAGAATAAAGTATAGTGGAAATGTGAATCTAAAGAGAAAAATGTGGATAGAAGGTATGTCGGGATGAAATGAAAATACGTACAGCGTAAAACAGATCTTTTGGATGATTGAGTTTGACCGATAACTATTGCGGCTAAGGGCAGCGACAGGGTTCTCTGGTGAGATGTAGCGTTCGCAACAGTTGTGGCGGTGGTGGTGGTAGTAATGGTGGTGATATTGACGGTGGTGGTGGTGGTGGTGGTGGTTGTGGCTGTTGTGGTGGCTATGATGGTTGTCGTCGTGAGATGAATGGATTGGGAATTAGTAGCAGAATGGGGATGAGTGGCTACTGAGTGACGACGCCGATTGACAGTAGCGTTAGCATTCATTGCTGCACTCCCTGTGGTAGGCTCCGTCGAAGGCTCAGGTCCTGATGCGCCGAGAACTGTAAACCACAGAGCTCACTGTCGCGATGCCCCTTTATGCACAGACCAAACCAACCTTTTCCAGACCAAGATATTCAATAAGCTTCCCAAATGAGATATGATATCCTCGTAATGTAAGAATCTTTTCAAGACCAGAAATTGAAGAAGCATTTCAACTGAAGATGAACCATTGATTCCGAAAACTACTCGTGCAATCATATACGCTCCCTTTAGAAAGCTACAGTGGCACTAAACGATAAACCGAAATCGATCAGAAATTTAAAAAACTACCATGAAAATAAAAGATTTTGCTAATTTTTCTACGACGAAAATATATTATTTGCAACTACATATTCTCAGCACACTTTAACCATAAAAATCGAAACATCGAAGTTGTATGTGAATCAATTTTGAATTACGATGTAAATATCATTAGATATCTTTTTGATTAAGCATCGTAGAAAAATAATTCACGCTATCGCAACTTGTTAGTTGCGTGATTCACTAAAATGACTGAGAGTGAAGGAAAATTAATCTCGAAAATAACGTAAGCAAACAGAGTACTGAGAAAGAGTCAACAGTATCTCTGATGACACGTGTGTAGTATGCGACAGACACACCTCCAACAATTCTTAAAGCACCAAGTCCATAAACGCTTATAGTAGAGTAGAATTTTCAGTTGAACGTTGGTTCACGCTCCAAAAAATTAGATGCAACAAACAGTTCATCACCATTCAGCAATAGGTTTCCAACAAACGGGAGCGTAAACCAGCGAACTAAATAACATTCATCCGTCCAAGAGTCACGCGTTTGCCTAGGTTGGTCGACTAAAAGGTAACTTTGTGTAATTTTGTTTTTATTTCAGTTTCTGGATATATCCAAAAGTAGCGGTTCAATTATTCATCGTCGTTATTAGCCGCCGTTAAGAGAATATTGGTAAAGAAAAATGCATACAAACAATATTTGGGCGTATATCGTGAACGGATCTGAGGACTATCTCGAAGTCAAATAAGGAGAAGCAAGAGAAGAAAATAAACAGCAGATATAGAAAGAAAGAGAAGAAGAGATAGAGAAAGAACTCTTATGAGAGAAAACAGACCCATGAGTGTATTGGAAGAGAAGGTACTCTGTGATTGATTACTCTGTGAAGGGGCAGAGACAGGGACGATCTGCTCCCGCATTGGATCCACCTGCTCCTTGTGCGTCTTCTGTTCCTCTGTAAAGCCCGCAACCCACGTGTATTACGTGCTATTCATCGATATGAGAAAGCGTGCGGTCATCGCAAGAGGTTATAGTCCGGCACGAAGCGGAATATATTGAAAAATATTATTTGCCTTCGATAAGATAAATTATTTCGATTTTTTTTTTACTATCTTTAAGCCCTATAACAATTATTATGTGAACTCCATTTTTTCATAGCTAAAAAGGATTAGCAGTTCAAGATATTGTATCAACTAAAATCTATTGGATAACATACAATATGATGTAGACGAATCATTCAAACAAGAACTGCTGAGTGTCAACTCATACAAATGTTTATATTTTTTGTTCAAACTTCTAGCCTAACTATTAATTTTAGCACAAGATATAAATATTGTTATACTAATTATCTTCCCCCATTTATAGTAATCAATATTAAAACTTGGCATGTTAATGTAAAGTCTAAAGAATTATAAATGAGAGGCATTGAAGGATTTGACGACACAATTCTGGTACGAATATACAATTGAATGCATGAAATTACAAGCCAGAGAAAAAACTCATACGTGTTACACAAGTCAAAATGATACAGTGAGACATTCAATTAATCATGTACTCACCGTTTTTATATGTTGGTACCTACATATCTACAATTGACTGTTGTAAACGTGGTATCCTGTTATCTTATCATTTCTATGGAAGTTTGTAACACAAAAAACGCTTGATCCATATATCCGTTTACGTACATGTGTTACAAACATTGTTTGAATAAACAAAGAATCTGAATGTACAAAAAAATAATAGTTGAAATCATATTTTAAAACAAGGCGAACAAGTTACCAGTTTAGAGCATGTCATTTTGTAATTGTACAGTGCGCATCAAAATTTGTATCAAATATGTTCCAAAATATACAAGTAATGATTAACGAAGTATCACACTGCAAGCGGAATTGCAGTTTCCAACTAACAAAAAAAAAAAAAGAGTAATAGCACATAAAAACAATTCCCACAACTCCGCCATATTAAAGTTTTGGCCTAGTCTACTAATTAAAAAAAACTCGATTATGGCGGAATTATAAGTCATCTCTACCATCTTTCTAGTTACCAATGGATTTACGTGCTATCATATCAAAGTTGTTATAATTAACCTTCGTATACCCGCGTCAAATAGTGTAACACATGTACCCGCGCACGGTTGGGTGAGATCGAAAGTTCTAGGGCTATTTTAGTATGTTATTTAGTAAAATATCATCATAAAATTGAGTTTACTATTAGATGGGAATGTGTAAAACGTTTTCCGTTTAAAAAAAAAAAAAAAAACAAGGCAAACGTAAATCGTCGGTCTGACAGACCAATGCGCGGGTATAAGAAGGTTAAGAATCACAGAATGGAATATTAATAAAAATCAATTAGAGAAAATTAATGAATAGAAAAACACTAACGAAGCTACAACTAAACTAAATGAAAAAAGCTCGCAGGCGCTAGTAATCTAAAAATTTTTTAAATGTATTATATACAATGTGCTCCGCGACGAACCATAACCGATATTCGCTACGTTTCAGATAAAATATATAAGCGTACAAAATAATAAATATATCCTCGCTTACCCAAAGGTGAAAAACCATGAAACTTATGGCCGGTGTTTCGACGTTGAATAACAGAAATTGGTTTACTCGCTTCGTTAGCGGATGAGCTGCGCCCTCTTTGACGCGGTCCCACTTCGTCTTTGCTGCTACTCGAATTGCTCATGGCATTTAAAATTGCTGCATGCATGTTGTGAGCAATATTGTTGTCTTCAGCCTCCATCCAGAATTCACCACCGCCCGTTACGGCCGATCTGCCCACCTCCATGTAGAAGATTCGATCCATGTAACCACATCGTCTTATGCAGTTCAACTAAAAAATGAATTAATTTTTTTAAATGAATTAACGTTTCTGTAAATAATTGCGATATTATATAAATTCATTATCTTACTAAAAGTAAAACTTAGTGTCGCTCATTATGGAAAAGCAAAATAACAAAGTAATTGACACACAAAAAAAATAAATTAATTAGAAGTATTACAAGAAGACAAGATGGTCAATAAATACGTATCTCGTATTTACGTACTCCCAAGAGTTATTAGTCTTCAAGAGTCTAATTAATTTCGCGTAATAATCCTTCACGACATACGGTAACTATTTTAATTTTGTTTGTACAATTTCAAACCGTCGTAAACACATTAGTTTATAGTACAAAGAATATTGATAAGTAAATGTCATACGTACAATTTATTATAGTATATTCAAATCAGCATCACTATTTCAAAGTACAGTTGGTCAACGAGTTCAATGTGTTTCTTTGACAGATTGAAAACAATGAAGTCTATAGCAAGCCACACGAGAATCTGCATAGATTTTCGGATAAAAAACATGCGTGTGGATGGTTTTGCGCCGAAATATATTTTATTGTTCTATTCTTGGTATATATTTCCGTGGGTTTAGGGAAAGTCACTTGTGATTTGTTAAGAGTTGCAATGTTTTTGAACTGTCAAAAAGCACATTGAACTCGTGGAGCAAAAAACAGCAAAGAGAATCTATGATCTCCAAGTATTTATTGTTTGAGCAATAGATTATATATTCTGTTAAAATCAAGGTCAAGGGTAAATATCGTTTAATAGGACACACCCATGATTTTACAAAATACGGAAACACCGATACATTAGCGTACTGTATTGCGTTATAACAGTGCTATAATAATCTTCGTATAGTTATTATATTTTACCACCCACTTCTCTTATCTCAACGCAAAAAGATAAAAACCTGGAAAATTTCATTCATAACCGCCAAGGTACATATTTGTTACCTTTTGTTATTTTATGATGGATGATAGACTAGGTGGTTTAGGGATTCGTTAATCGAGACTAGAACGTACATTTAACGAATTGACAACAGTCACTGGGTATCATTCCACTTTGAAAACAAAATAACTTAGTTTTCCTTAAAGATATATGTTCATAGGATACAAATAAGATACCGATTTTGTTTGAGTTTCTACTTCACCGAAATATTACACATAGAGATCATTCAACGTCAGATTACATAGCTGTACTGCTTATATTTCTTGAAGAAACTATGTACTCCTAAATAGAAATATATATAAAACCTTGAAGAAATATATATATATATATATATAAGAAATATATATATATATATAAAATTCAGTCAAAATAATAAGAATATAAGATTTAAAAAAATAAAACATACCAGAGTTGACACTACTTTTTTATTTTGAGCGTAGATTCGATCGCAAAGAAATTTTATTGCCTATTATACTTTAGTGTGTTTAAGGTAACAAAGAATTCACATAAACTATAAAAGTCTTGGCATTTCTAGCATTTTATATCTGCGTCCTATTATCAAAGTTTAACAATCTCAATATTGCTTTAAAAATATTCTTTTTCCTTTAAACTTTTGTGTATGTGAATATTAAAGATGAGTTTATAAAATTTCATAGTCCAAAAGTAACTCCTGCAGATTTTTGATAATATTTAACATCATTTTTTTTTAATTAAGTAATCAAGCTGGAAATCAAACCATACATACTCGATAATTTAAAGTCAACGATGTTTTGCAACGAAAACATGATTCATACATTGTGCGATAATCACCACTTAAAACTCTAACGCTCGCTGAAAAACATCTCAATGCAATAATCACAGTCCATGTTCACTTCCGGCTAGTTTAATCATATATACTGCCTTCTTCCAAGAAGAAATATTAAAATATTGACACGAATCAACCTATTTGTCTATCACTGTTCGCACATTCACGTTATAATCATTGAAATTGAGTGCTTACATAAACATTGTTATTGAATTATTCAATACTCAAAAGTTAGCTCAGAATGTACAACTTTGCTTGAACACTTTTTGTATTGAAAAAGAAATATCTACTTAAATTAATAAACTTACCATGAATTCAATAGAATCGGCATTGTCCTTTGTCCCAATTTTTACTAGACTTAATGTTCGGTCGGTCAAGCACAGTCTATAAGGTCCATGAATATTTTTGCGTTCGCCCAGTCCCTTCTTCTGCATTGTCACTTGCCAGATGTGTTCTGAAAAGATATCGAATTATTTAATAGTATTATGTTACACATTCTCAAATATTTACTGAGCGGAATGGCTTTTCGTTAAACTCAATGTAATGAAAAGAATTTATAAGGACAAATCATTCAAAGTTTTGCACTCACAATTGTTTGTCACGCTTTTGTGGATGAATGGTATATATGGTATGTAGTAATATCGAAACTATAGATGTGGATTACATTTGTGGGTTATGCATAGGATATTACAAATACTTAATGAATATCAAATAGAATTGCTACGATTTTCAAAATTAAGATTCGCATATAACACAACTTTCTTTCATTATGTAGCGGTTGTATATCAATGGTTGAATTGCCTTAAAAACGAATTAACAAATTGATGTTACTATACTTGATTAAACTATGATAATTGCATATCATATTGAAACAATAATTTCTTTGAAGTAATTTCTATTTAAATAATATATAATTTATTTTTACATTTTACAAAACAAAATGGAACTAAAATAGTACAATCTACTGTAAACAAGATTTTAACACAATTAATAATGAAATGGGAAAATAAAAATGTTCTTTTAAAATATTGTAATAACAAATACAAATCATACCAAAAGTTGGCCTTGGTTGTTCTCCATCTGGAACATCTCCACTGAGTCGTAGCATAGGTTTTAACCAGTCATCAAGATCCTTTTCATTATCAAGGATTAAAGAAAAACATTCATCCTTTGTGTAAAGAGCAATAACATGTTTATGTTTAGTATCAACACGTTTGTTGATATTGAAGCAGCTGTGTAAGGATATGCTGCGTTTAGGTGGCTGTCTGTTTTCAAACTTTTTCTTACTATCGTAATATTCCAAGCACGCTGGGTACCCTGGTACTTCACCACGTAACACAAAATATTTCTTTTTAAGTGTCTTTAACTTTCGAAGATGTCCAGCACGAACAATTGGTCCTCCTGATGGAGAGACCAGGCCTCTGCCGCATGACATTGCCACAATAGTTAAGAAACCCGTTTTTGCAGATAACAGGAGCAATGTTGCTCCCTGGTATATTGTACCATTTATGTAGCACGTAAATGTGCCTGAATTGTTTTCTTTTCTAATCTGCAATGTTGCAGCCCTAGTTTAATAGAACCATTAAAATGTTTTAATTACTTTACAATGATTATTTAAAAACTAACATATGATTTTAAGGTTTATATATAATAAAGTATTTAGAGTTGGCAAATACTATTTGCAGCTTTGAACAGCCCAAGTAGTTGATGAATTTCAATTGGAAAGTTGTTTCATTTGTTGTGAGTAATTGTATCAAGGATCAAATTTTAAGTTAAATGCAAAGCATTCAAACATCCCAACTTGCCCTAATAGACTCAACCTTATGTAGAAACTATCCAAAGTCCATAAAGCATTACAAGCTCAATGAAATGATTTGAATAGAGATATAAAATAGAGGATTATCAAAGACAACAAAAAATCAAAACTATTGTGATCATACAATCTATATCGAAGTCCACATTCAACCGTTATCTTTCATTAAACACAATGATCATTGAGACATCTCCAATTATCCCTTTTCACAATTTAAAGTTATAAATCGGAGCACATAATCATATACAAAGTATTTGCATATGAAATTCACAGTTCTATGATGTAGTAGTACAGCAAGTTTCTTAGGTGAACTCCAGACATCTGAAGAATGATGATCATGTATCACGTTTTAAAAATATTTTGACATTAAAGCTTTAAAATGGGTATGTAGTATCATGGATAAACAGTGCAGGTCACCATAATCGTCGTAGCCCATACGCCATGATAGTCAATAATGAAATCCAGTTCGCAGCATCGTGATTTTTTGTGAATTTAAGCAGCTGATCAGTTGAGGAATCCGTGGCACAAAGTAAAAACGTAAAAGTCCACTTATAGAGCAAATAAGCTGGTGCCAAGGGTAGAAGAATTTTTCATGCGCAATAGGAACCAGCAGCAAAACACCAGAGGTGTTCCAGTAGTAAAGTCACATTTTGCGATATAGCGCAAATTGCTGGTATAACTCATGAAGAAAATTTGACGCACACGCGAAAACACTGGTAACAAGGTAAGTTTAATTAGCTTGATCAGTTCAGCAAGTTCATAAAGAGCTGGTTGGATGCTGTCGAGTCTCTTGCACGCAAGTATATACACTGCGCTCACATCTGCCCGAATCGAAAAATTCGGACACAAATATAGAGTAATTTATTTGCACTTGTGATTAATATCAGAACCTACTCTTGTCTTGATGTTCACTTGTGGCAAATGTCTTCATACGCACACCTGCAACACACTTCGACCCTCAGGCTGCGTGTTAAACGATGATTTTTCAACGGCACGCTATGCAATAAAATAGGCGTTCGTGTCCATCTTGGAAAGGTCATGTGTATGGTAAGCTCCGCAGTTGTAAACAAGCTGTACGCAGGCGCCAACCGTTCGAATGGCGACGACTCGATACGCGATACACGATACGCCGCCAACCTGACGATATACACGATACTTCCTACACGTTCGCTACCCTCTTCCTCCTCCTAGCCCGCCCTGATCATTTCGCTCCTCTTCTCTTCAACTCCTCCCGCGCTCTACGAAGCAACACACCCAACACACCTGAGCACACTACGAACGAAGCTACGCAAAACACACCCGACTGCGGCCACATGTCACATACATACGTCAGTTGCTCTCTGATTTCTTGGTGACTCCTTTCGATGTCATTTCTTTACATTTGTTTCCTCTTTACAATAGCATCTTAATAGCATTCGGTCCTCCTTCAATATTCATTTTCCTACCTTAACTCCCTCAAAAGCTATTGGTTTCATTAGGTATTACTTTCTTTATATCGTTTTTGCGTTTTTTCTTAATCACATTTCAAACGATAATCCTGTAATGTGTGGACTGGTCGCAATGATTCATAAAAATTTCTCTTTTCTGAGTTACACGTGGAATCACTCACAATCAGTTGTATTACATATGAATTTTTCTTAATTTCCCAGGTAGCAATATATCTAAACAATATCCAAAGGACGTCCAGAAAATGTTACGTATAACTTTTTTGATGGCTAAAAAGATACCTTTTTATATATTACTATAATATGTAAAGATCGTGAAAATGATTTGAATTCGTATATCGAATAATTTTGTATCATATTTGTTAATTTGGACCAACTATATCGTACAATAATTAGCGAAAGCAATACATATTTCCTGAAGAGTGTGTGAGAGGTCAGTAATATTGATTTGCGAGTCTGTATAATGTATTTTCGATATTCGAGTGTTTTATACAGACATCTCAAATGAAACTAAAAAAAAAGATTGTCATACAAAAACATCTAGTTTATGCAGATATACTTTATTTATTACAAATAAGGAATATAAATTTCTTAATCTCAACATTTTTAATACTTTCCATATCTATTTACTACAGGAACTTTGGTGTACTAACTAAATTGTATTACAATTCTAACTTGTATGCTTAATAACAAAGGTTGTATGAGATCGTTCATTACAATACCCTTAGCAAAAATATTTTTAATATGAATTATTATTTAATGATTGAATGGTAATAATGAAATGTGGAATGCTATCTGCCATTCCAGTCAAATAGCATAAGTCGTCCAATGAATAAACCACGTGTTTCTTAATTACGGTTCTCGTTTGAGCTTACACTTATTAGTGAACACATTTACGTCTAACAAATTTCTCCAATGTTATATAATAACAGTTATACAATAATAGGAAACATAGTTTTATGCGATATGACAAATATATGAATTACATTAACAAAAATTAATAATACTTCGTTTCCAAAATATCAGCATGAGCCAAAGTAAATCAACGTGATTCATTGATAGTCAAACGCACCTTAATTAGAACAAAATTCTAATAATTTGCGACTACTTATCTATAATTTATATAATATTGTATTTTTGTCAAAATATATTATTTAAGTTTCAACTAGAATTGGTAAGAAACTTGTGTTATGTAGATGAGAAAGAATTTAAAGAACAACGCCAAAGGTAGGCAGAACTTAAAGGAAATAGAGTTTATCCGCCAAGCATTCATTGGGTTCCATTTGAATACTTTGTCCCACGAGATACGCAAGTTTGTGTGCATATTGACACGGGGCGGGTACTCGAATAGTTCCAGGCCAGTTATAATACAGATGACAGAGTTTGTATGTCAATCTTTGCATGTAGTCGGGTTTCAATTTTATTCCATCATGAATAACAATGTAATGAGTTGGTGTTACCGTACCCTGACGAGTATATGGTGAAACAAGGAAAAAATCGTACCAGTTTCGACGAGTCACTTCGCTATCCACGATCGTTCCAGGTAAAGGATTGTCTAACCGGGATTCCTTAAAAAAAATTATATATAACAATATAAGTCCTTTAAGCCGGGAATGGTCGCACGGTTTTGTTTTCCATTTAAAAAGCATTGAATTTGGAGTGTACGAGACACCTCAAGTGCCTACTTTTTGGTTAACCCTTTCGCAGTGTAACAAAAATCAAGTTGTCTTCCTACTAATGTATGGAAAAAGAGTCCTCGGATTCATTTATTGATTGTATGATTCAGTTTTTTGGGATCTCTGAATTAGAATTTGGTATTTAAATTTATAAACTCAAAATGGTGGATCCAATATGGCAGATCAAAAATTTTATAATCATTGGGTTTGTATAAAAATTGATATCTCGAGGCTTTTTGAGGTGACTAATCAAATTATATATATTCGAAGTATTTGGTAAATTGCATCAAGATATCTTTTTCATTTGTCACCACGAGGCATGAATGGCCGCTATGATAGATGACTGGCGACTCTGTATCTTTCTTAACATCAGTAGTGCAATTTCTCTTTACAAGCATGAGACTTTTCAGAAGGTCTAAGGGGATCCGCCATTTTGAATTTTGAAATTCTGTTCTCAGATTTGAATTCTACGACCTTAAAAGCCTTAGGATACCCACTTTTATAAGAATCGGAGTAAACTCTTCTTTTTTAGATAACCGTATAAAGCCATACACAGTGGTGGCAGGAGTTTTTTGCCATATACGGGTCACACACAGTGAAGTCACACATGTAATCCTTAAAACCAATTACTCAGATATCTAATGAAAATGTATCAAACAAAAACAACTATAGAACTTTTCTATCAATTATCAATCATTCCTTATAGAAGTTCCATGTTAATTATTACAAATTTTGAAAAAAAAAGCAGGATTATGCATCACATAAATATTAGGTATTATAATCCAGTAATATTTTATAATTTGTATAAGTTCAATAGTACGGCTAGTAATATGCAACTTTTTGAGATAGCTATCATAGTTACAGAAAAATTTTGGGCTGAAACTCTATCGAGTCTCTTGATATAATACTTACAACTTTTCTGAAGAGACGTGTATTAATCCGCTTCTGTACTACAACCACGTTCATTTTTGGTTTGTAATCAGGATAAATTAAACTGAAAGCTGTTTCCAGCTGGTTCACCTCGTAACGAGATACTGTATCGAGCTGCCCATCTCCGACACCATCACGATACATGACGATTCTATCAGGATACCGACTGTTTGTCTGAAATTTATGATGAACGAATTAAAACGTGACCTCCTTCAACAAAGAGGAATAATTTTAGTTCAATACCTTTTCGTACTTATTAACCGCAGCCACTAAGCACACTTTAAGTAAATCGATTAGCTCCTGACGCGGAGTTTGAATGCAAACTTTTGAATACCACGTAGTTAAATGTTTATCTAAACTAGCAACAAATCCCGCTACACTTCCGTGGGATGATTTTCCTTCGCCAGCATGAAATACATCAATACCGCATACCATCAAGTTTTCCTGGAACACAATATTAAAATGGGTTAAAATTAATTACAAAGAATAGTAGATAAATATATATATGCGAAATACGTACAAATGGAATATGTAACGCCCAGAGTGCACCTCCAAGCTTGCAATTCATTTGCAGTGCAATCTTTTCTGAAACTCCTTTCAATTTATCCTTACGTGAGATTGTCTTTGTGACAATAACTTGGGAAGCAATCGGCATTTCAACGCAGCACAACCTGTAAATGGAGGAGTAATACATGTTTCAAAATTTTCCCGTGAGATAAAAACTGATGGTTAAGTTTACTTCTTAATCGCTGCATATCGGTCATTGCGTATACTGGGACACACTGCAACAACAATGTCAACATTCGGGTTGATATTCCTACGTAGTTCTCTTAAATAATTTTCCGTCCTGTCATTTTCCAATTGAATTATTTTTGGGTCAGCGATATTTAATGACATATTCATGCCAACTTTTTTCAGCATTACCAGAAAATCTTTACATATCGAGGAATCCTTTCCGGTGAAAATCAAACACCAACTGCGCATGCTCACCTGAAAGCGAATAAAATATTTAAGCGGTGATAGAAAAAATATGTTGATACATGTCAATGTATTTTTAACTAACAGATCTAAGTGCGGGTTTTCTTATCGTCATTGAAGTCCAATCTGCGTTTTCTGGTACGAAATCAGAATTTTTGTTTCCAAAAGTAATTTTCTCGCGGGGCAATACTCTTCCGTTTATATTCACAGTATTATTCTCGAGTCGCAGTCCCCAATCACTAAGCAATTTTCGTGTGACTTCATTATTCTGCACTTCGTTTATGAAACGATGGATGACATCGCGGCGGCCCTCTGGACTAACTCTAGTCACTGATGCAAGATCTCTCATTATACGAAAATCTGATCGAATTTTATCCGTTAATCCGGCTAAGTAACAGAATTCGGGAATTAATAAGACCAGATTTTCGACTTCCTGTTTGCGACAAAAATTAGTTATATTAGTTATATTAAAAATTAGTTATATATACTTAAAATTTCATATTTCATTAAGAAAAATAATATACAAATTTATCATAATATTAATGACAACATAAAATAGTATTAAAAATTTCAAAAGTAAATGATTATACCTCGCCTGTATTAGTTCTAGTTTTTGCCCTATGTACAAGCAAAGGCTGGTTATGATCCTTTATATCCAAATTCCAATGCGTTTTATAGTATTGTATTAAGGATGTTTTTGTGTTATCTTTAGATTCAAATTCAAATTTGGGACTTTTATTCCAGTCTATATCATCGATATGATATGTCCTGTTGTTATAGCGGGTTAATACAGTCATACCCACTACTTCTACAGTTACAGTATCTCGGAAATTATGTGGCGATTTATTATACGTATCCTTCCTGTGAAACATAATACAAAGCATTGAAGTTTGTTGACGACTTGGCGTCTATCATATACTATGGTCATCAGAAATAAAGCTCAAGCAGCAAATACATTTTTACAATTTTTGCAATATTCATAATTAAATAACTCGTATAATATTCCTTGGCCCTCGCCGGTATTTCTGCTGAATACAACCATAATCGCCATTGAGGCTACACCTATTCTTGTTCTACTTTTGTTTACTTACATTAAATCACGTACAGTATCTGTACGCATCACTCTATGAGTAGCATCCAGACAAAGTTTTAAACCTCCTTCATATTCATTCACTGCTGTAACATAACCTGGCCATAATTCCAGTCTGTGTTGTGGCACAGCATGAGCAGCTCTCGGATTAAAGTTTTGACGTCCAATACGCACTAATTTCAACGCATACATAATTTTGCCTATAAGAATATTATAGAACTGAATGTTCTCGCTCACGCTTTGTTCCTTTTTGTAAATGAGTGTCAGGATCACCGTTGAACCATCCGGATGAAGAGATGAAAAGATCATTCTCTAAAAACATGAAAAATTACACTATTGCAAGTTTTAAGAAATGTATACAATAAAAACGTCTTGTTCCTTCGTCTTATTCATAAGCATGATACTTGACAAATTCTAGCACCACTCATATTATTGTTTTTATTCTTTTTTTTCTCATTCAACTTGAGATAGATCAAACTCAAACTTTGACGGTTAATATTATATATTAATTACTTACGTCTTGTTTCAATTTTTTTGGCACGAACAAAATGGCTCCGTCGAATGTTTTTACACCACCAAGCTCTGCCAAGTGCTGATTTAACAATTTCGTTCGTAAAGGACGAGAATCAATATTTGGTGCAAAAGTTACTTCGTATTGAAATAATCCACGATCAGGTTCTTGAACCAGATTTATGTGATTAGCAGTCATTTCTATTCTGAAATCAGATAAAAAGTACTGAAAAAGTCTGAAAATGGAATGTGAGTACTATACAGAGTAATAATTGAAAAAATATGATAGATCAAGTAACAAATAAATGTTACAAGATAAGGACCAGATATCATACTATAAAAATATTTGTTATACCAGATTATACAAAAAACTGAATTTTTAAAAACTGATCAATACTCTTATAAACTGTGGAAATTCCGCTACTAAAAACATATTCCTGATGACATAAATTCAAAACATCATACCATCATAAATATAATAAAAATATTTCATTATTAAAACTTTGCCTTTCTATAGTTAAACTGAAATACATACACTGTGCCAGCTTCTCCTTGTCGAGATATTGGTTCAGACTGTGTAAGAGATTCAGTAGTGCTTAGAGAAAGTTGTGGTAAATGAGTAGTTAAATGTCCAACATCAACTGAAGACTGCAACTTTCGACCTTGTGGAAGTTGCGTTTCACTTACAGAGGCAGCCGTTGTTCTATAAATATTAAACAAGTATTAGGAAACATGTTTTAGATATATAAATAAATATGCTTGGAGACATACATAAGAGATTGTTTCATGCCGAGCACAGAGGCCCTGCCACGACCAACTTTAGGAAGTGCTTGGGGTAACTCTGGTGAGGCAATACTTCTTGATGGAGACAATATGTTTGGGGAACTGAATCCTCGTCCCACAGATGCAATATCAGCACTTTGTTCTTGTAAATGTGTCAAAGTTGCACGTCCACGGCCAATTAATGGCAATGTGGATTGCTCTGTAGATTGCGATGTCCCAGGCATTTGCAAACTCAAAAGAGTAGAATCTTGTGAGGTTCCTGCTTTCTTCATCTTCATAAGATCCAAAAGACTTAGCTTAGTTCTTTGGCCAGGGGGCCGAGGCCCTTTGTTTGAGTCCTCCATTATATGATTTTTTTGTCATACACGTTGTCGATGAAATCTAAAAATAAATAAAAGTATTTATTCAGTATTTTCACAAATCTATAAATATATAATGATTATTTTAAAAAATATATCATTAGTAGTCTGTAATATATTTTTTAATGTAAAAAAATTTTTTTATTTTTTTATTTTTTTTTCCACAAAAAATTTGCATGGTTAATTCACTATAAAACAAACTACAAAATTAATGCATAACAATTTAACTAATGCCAAGAAAATGAATAAGAAAGCATAGCAATCAGCCACGATATAATATACATTTTAAATATCAGTCAAAGTACTTTCAAACTTTTTATAAAGTATATTAAATGGGAACAAAAATACTATACCTATTTCAATTTCAATATTCTAAAAGTTATTGTCATACATTACCGTCAATTTTAGGAATTGTGTGTCTATATAAATTCACAGCAAGACTCAGTTTTCTCCAATTCAAAATGATAATGGCAATTCGTAACAAAGAAATAGAACTGATTGCAACGTGCCTCCAGTTTTTCATCATGAGATTTTTAGTTACTAAGCATTACCAACTTCGCTGAAAGTTCACATTGCTAGTCCAGTCAGGGCCCAGTCACACTCATCAAACGCGCGTTCGAACGCAAACTCTAGACCAATAACAAAATGAGAATTCCTATAGACGCATTGCACCATTGGTGCGACAGTAATCGTTCCAACACGAGTTCATCGACAGTAACTGGATCCTTGTTAAACAAATGTTCAAATACAATTCTCCACCTGTAGCACAACGTGAATTCCTCTGAACGTGTTGTACCATTGGTTAACAGGAACTTACGTTTGTTGAATATGGCTTAAGCCCGTTTTCTTCAACGCGGTTCGATGCATAAACTCCGTTTATCTTCGAAATACAAGTGTCTGATTGGCTAATAGCATAGTTAAACGGAACTTATGCATTGAACCGTATTGAACAAAAAAGACGTTAGTTTCTACTGTGCAGAGTTTAAACAGAGTTAACTAATCACGTATAGGAGTTGAATGGAATGGCCAATGAGGCTGCTTAACTCTGTTTTAAACTCTTCCATCTGATTTGGCCAAAACTTGTTTTAAGTGTTTGTCTAGTTTCAAAGAGAAGCCTGCATTTTTTTCAGATGTTCAAAACCATCTACACGAATTATATTAACAATCTAAATTAGACGATTTCTTAAACTTTTTAGTGACTGACGACGATATATCGTCGTTTGCTATACTTGCGAAAAGTGCCAACGACGATACATCGTTTCGTATGCGATGCCGCCTTATTCTTCGCATTGCAAGAAAACTCTATCTCAAAATAAATTTATAAAACGTTATAATTTCATTGCAATTATTGCAATGAAAGCATTGAATATAAACATTGACAATGAAGTATTGCATATAAACGGTCTAATTTCATTGCAAGACTTTAAAAAATTGTTTTTGGGTTTAATTCTTTGTTATATTCTATGCTGGTTGATACCGAGGCTTTTTGATGCCATTTGTTCTGTAACAGATCTGTCTGACGTTTACTGTGCATCATGGAGATATCCTTTTGTTCTTAGAACCGATATTGGCTCAATTCCCCATTGGCTCATGAACTTGACAGCGAAGACATTTCGCGGAACGTCAAATTAGCACCTTAAATCCCTCTCGCAGCGTCCAGGCGGGCCTAGGGGAAGTGCCTGGATGCCCGGCAGTTCCCAAGCCGCATCAGTCCCGTTTTCAGATTCTAATGGAGCAGGTTAGGAAAATCCTGTCGAGGTACGTAGCCCGAGTAGCCCGTCAGACTGGAGAAGTGAAACCGAAGATTCGGGACACTGTCGAATCTCACGTGCTCCGCGCACAAGTTACGATGCTCCTAGGTCTTCCTTCATGGGACAGTGCAGAGAGAATTCAAGACAGCTGTAATATTAAACAAATAGCGTTAGGAAAGTCCAGGAAATCCATACACTAAGAACTAGTACGAACTGCTAGTAATTGTGAATGTGAGTGAGAGAGATAGAGTGTGCGAGCGAGTGATTGGACTAAATAAAACTTATAAATTTCAATATTGTTGTCACGTGTTTATTCAATAGCCCAAGCCCAATCGAGGTACCGAGCCCCTAGGGGACGGCGACTGGAGCGCGCACGAGAAAGATCCACAGAGTCACGTCTCCTTCGCGCCTCACACGTGAGCCGGACGTAACAATATTAATGATATCGTTGCCCATCTCATCATTCGTGAGTGTCTTAGATTCATAAAGACTGGGCTGCATAAAATGAAATTTATATTTATTAAAGTGACTGGGGAGTGCAAGCTGCCGTTTTGAATTTACAATTATGAAAACCGTAAATCACAAGGAATTGATGAATTATCTTTATCAGACTTGAGCGCACGTAGATTTGTATAAGTTTCATAATTATTTGTATAGCATTTTTATAAGGAATAATTACGAAATTAAGGAATGAGCATCTTTTACGTCGGAAAATTGCACGCGTCCCAGTCTTTTATTTTTAAATTCTTCCGCATAAAGGTATCATACAAGTAGCAGCGCAGCTTGCAGAAATTCGCATGCCGTAAATTTGCAAAATAATTTATTATTACATTCTTGTAAATTACGATATTCCAGTTGAAGCTTAGAAAGTACTGCCCGGTCCCCTTAACCCTAGAGGACGGGAAAGAGGGGATATCTATTTCTTCTCTCGTTCTCTGGGTTCATAGTGCCTTTAATACTTCATCTGTGATTAAACTTGATGCACATAAAAAGGGAGGGGCTGGAACAGCAAATTTATTATAAATGCATTATAATTCAACGATGCAGCAATGCAGTTATGCAGTAAGTATAGATAGGTCTGTTAAACATGAAATCATGAACAAATTTGAATACATCGCAGTGAAGTAACCAGCCGTGGATACAATCATTTATTTTCATCATCGCCTTCAGCTTTAATACATACGATAATTATTACATAACTTTATAATGATGTTAAATACGAAATATGAAACCTATCTACGCTATTCTGTTTACTAAATTGATACTTTAATCGGCATACAAATAAAACGCTCGTCCTACACCTATCCCTCTGAAAAGTTTACAAGTCCTAAAAGGATTAATAGAAATTTCATGACTATATTTGGCGCCGATTTACTGAACTTCCCTGGTTATCCTTCGTTATGCAATTTTTTCATCGAAACGTTATGCATCGACGGGAAGACTAGTTTTGAAATAATGGAACATCGGTTAACTCACAGGATTATGTATAGGCTGTACATGTTGGAAAACATAGAAGAAAAAGAAAAGAACGAAAAATATTAAAGGTAAAAAGAGCCTATAGCACGGTATAAAATAACATTTGAAAAAGGTTCATTGCACGAAGTGAAAAAAGAAATATAATTCGAATTTCCCGCTCAACCATTGTACGAAAGGATTCCACCCTCCAGATACCGAGAATCAGTTTTCTCTTTTCGCATTTATTTCTTGTGTCTTATTGTGTTCAATCGACGCATGTAACGCTCCGTGAATACGATTCAGAAACTCGGGGTTCTCATAATGCTTACGTCTACGCGTTACAACATCGAAGTAAAGGTACATATACTATTCTCACAAAATATATGACATCGTTATACTATATATACGAGAGATTTGCTAAGCATTACTATACCATAATTTGGTATCAATGTTAATGGTACGTATATCATTAACATACCGTCAACTATGGCTTACGAGTCAGTCGAGTGATAATTTATCGATTAATTTATTTATTTTTGTATCAAGCCAGTGTACACATATGAAGTCATTATTACGAGTTGACTTGTCATTGAGTTCCAGTCAAGTCGAGTTCGATCGACTTATGATCATTTACTTAATTAAGTAGAAATACTATAACTTGTTCTCGTATTCACTTTTATATTTATTATATTTCTGTGTTATAAGTATCCGTGTCTGATATATTTATATAATACTTCATATGTGAACGTCGCTCTATACTTGAGGTTGCTCGCGGGATACAGACTAATTCAGGAGCGTGTTGGGTTTGTATATATAAAAAGTCATGTCGAGAAATACGCAGGTTTCCCTAAAAATCATTCCTAATCCAAATATTTTGAAACAGTAGAACCGCCTGATTGAGAGTGATGCCATGGGAAATTTTAAAAAATTCTCAAAACTACATTTCAACATGTTTTTACTTTCACGAATAGCGATGCGCATGCGTGTTTTATTATACCGCATGATGAAATTGTGCAATTTTATCATGTTGTTACCATCATTATTACTCCTCACTTTTGTGGATTGGCCACCAGCTTATTAAATCTGTGAGTACGATTTAAGGTTGCTGATAAGATAATCTATGTGATTACGTAGTCACGAAGTGATGACGTCAGAAACGGGAAAAGCTTTTAAATCATTATTTTTCTTTATTTTCAGCTAAATTATGAAAATCTAGATTGAGCCGTTTTCTCTATACTGCAAGAAACTTGGGTCAGCTGGAGTCGAAAATGAGTAAGTTCTTTGGCTCGATAATAACGTCTTCAAAATAAACATGTATCTTTTGACATGTCAAATCGCCAAGGTGGCCGGAATGCACCTGCTTTTTGTACTTTTTAATTTCCCCTCAAATTACGGTATTAATGAACCTAATTGAAGCTGCACCAAATTTCCTGTCAGATGATAAAGTTGGATTCACCAAAATTGTGACGATTTTACAAAATATAATATGTATATAATATATCATGCATATCATGATACGTATGTTAAATTCAATGTTTTACGAAAATAAAAAAAGATAATGATTTTAGTTGTTTTTGTTGTCGTTACTTTGTGCAGATTCGCGAAGATAGAATAGCTGAACAATAGCCTTAAGACGTGAAAAGTTATAACGATAGGAATAAGTTTGAATACAGAGTAGATAGGCGAATTTTTAGACAAGAATGGTTAATGCTAACAATCAATTTTAAATTGAAGAATAGAGTTGAATTTGAATTATGGGTTTATATTATATTTTTATGTTAATTTAATTGTTATGATTTGACTCTTCTTGCGATCTCATATATCGATCATCTGATTGGGTACCAATAATTTTTTTGTGAAATTTTTGGTTAATTATTCTCGAATAGCGCTGTTTATCCCGATAATAAAATAGAAACTCTCGTAGTCCATTTGATGTATATTATATTCACAAAACAAAATTGTACTTTGCTGCAATTGCTTCGATTGAATTATCTAGTATGTTCTTTCGCGATTAAAATCTTTGGTTTTTATTTTCGTTATTTGTCAAAGTTGTTGCACGCTTTAATTAGGGGACAATGAGAAGCTTCCTTTGTATGTCAAAGCAGCGTAGGCAAAAATTAATACATATATGTATTGAATTTTTTGAAAAAATTTGATAGTCGAGAAACATACTCACATTAACAAGTCTGGGGTTGGCACTACTAGCTAATCTAGGACGATTTTCAGATTATTTATAACAAAATTCACTATATTCTGCATGTTTTACCAATGTACAATTACTTTCGTAGAATTCAATTCGGTATTGTTTCTTGCGCTCAAAGAGTGAAAAATTCTATGTCTTTCTTCAACTTCCATTTCACTAAAAATATCTGATTCAGAATTATGTCAAATTTGTATATGATTGCCTCTACGTCAGTGCTTGTTATACGTATTAACAATATATTGAAAACATAAAAAATTAAGATCGATGATAATTAAATCACAATAAGTATTGTTCTGTAACCTGGCAATATTGATATAACCACAGGCACGAAATAGTTCAACTAATAGCAGTCGCCATTATTAATAAATAACATTACGATTTGAACTATTTTTTAATATTATTAGTATTGTTGTTTTTGTTTATTATAAATATTATTATTATTATTATTATTATTATTATTATAAAGGTGTCAAACATCTCGCTCGAAGTCGTATGTATTGCAGTTAAGTTTATGTACGACACATATGCATTGGATTTCACCCAGACAAAATTTGATCTAGAAACAAAACGAGTCGAAAACCAAAAAAAAAAAGAATGACAAATTTTTTTATCGATAGAAATTTGAATAGAGCAAGTTAGCTTCCAATAACGTTACGATAGACGGATTGACAAAGCACTGATTACAATTCATGGATTCCGCGAGGTATATTTTAGAAAAAAAAAATCGAAAATAAAAAATAGTTATTCTTTTTCACGTTAAACCGAAAAAATAATGGAAAATATTAGGTCTAACGATGACAACAAAAAATAGGATTTTGACACCGTATTAGATTCTAGGTATACCTACCCATATCGTACCAAAGAGGATTGTACTAAGTACCTTGACTTTGAATATGGATTCTATAATTCCGCACATAATTCCGCGTCGTTATTACCGCGACGGTAATAGTAATTATCAATAATTATTATCGTTACCGCACGTAATTACAACCATGGTCACACAACTACAACCCTATGACGACTAACTTGCATAGTCAAACTTAAATCGTCGACTTATCTATAGCACGAATTGCCCTTAATTTATTTCTTGAAAATGAATTTCGCGAGCATTTCCGTGTATATTGTATATGCATATATAACATATCCTGTACACATGCAAGAATACACGATTATATCATGGAATAAAAATCAACACTTATATGTACGAGCGACATACCTCTTTCTCTTACTCTCTCTTTCTCTTTCTCTGCCTTTACAAAATATTTGTGCCGTTTTATACAAAAAACTTAAGCTTAACATTCTTAACGAATATACCTAGCTGTTAAATTGATAAGGTATTTATACAGAGTTTGTACAAATGTCTCGCGCCAATTCATTATTATTATTATTACTCTTATTATTTGCCACGTACAATCATATAATATCGATTATGGCGATTCCTCTAGACGCACGACGTCTCGTATTTTCTGTGTCTAGGAACTCATTACGAATCGTCGACAATTATGTATTCTCAATTTATTTTTCATTCCCGATCTTAGAATTTTTTTTTTTTTTTTTCTTTCCTTCGTCCGGATTAAACTTTGTGCCAACTCTGTATGGATACAGAATCGTATTTTCTATTTGTATTATCGAATATCCCTTTTTTTATCAAATGCACAAATGGTCGACGTTCTCTCGCATCCTTTCGATCAATCGGAACAGTCACACGCCCAAGCATGCACAATTGTTTCAATTATTTACATTATTGTTGGCTCGCCGTTAACTAAATGTTAATAATACTAGACCGTTTGCCGAGACTACGAACTTTGTCATGCTCTTAAACGCATACGCAATGGCGGAACAAAGTATTTTTGCGCGTGTGTGTTTAAGAGTCGTGAATACTTTCTGTAAGTAATTATGCCACTGCTAATTATATTTCATCTCATGAAAAGCCATGGCTTAATCCTAATACTTTTTCACTTTTTTCAAATCTTTTTCGTTAAACATTCTTTCGTGCACAGCAGTGATAATGATTCGCAAAAGACCCATTTCAAAATTGCGAATTCTCCCTAAACTCTCTATATGCCGACTACGATAACGATTCATTTGATGACTTTTTTGTTAACGCTTAATTTGCGGAAGATCGCGATAACTCTTTTTTTAGCTGCAAATCTTAGGCGTGATAATTTTATTTTATTTTTTATCATTACACAGTTGGTTGATGGCATCATTGGAGTTTTTGAAGTGACGAGCGGCCTTTGACTTATTCGGTCCTTTAATAATTGATTAATTAAATAAAATATTTTCTCTCATTAATCATCTTGTCTTACAATTTGTCATTTATCTGTTATATAGTTACATAATTCGGTGAAACTTCAAATTCGATTATCTCTTAGAAAATTTCAACCGAAACAGTGGAGCCATTACGTTTTTCTCAGATGATTGTCCTACCTATATCAACGTGAAGTGTATTTTCTTTTTTTTTATCTTTCATGAAACTTCCATATGCCATCACCAAATATACGTTGTTGTGTCATAATGAAAATCACTTTTTCACATTTGTCATTTCATTAAGAAACAACACGTCCCGGCAATGTGGGATTACTTATAGCACTTTTATAAACTATCGCATATAATATATGTGTATGTTATGTGCATGCTAATGAAATCGTGAATTCTCAGTGGCCACCGGAAAGGTCTTTGCCACAAAGTACGTCCCTGACCGCCCTGCTGCCGCCACCAGGTCACCCTTGACGGTCGCCTCCTGCCCCCTTGATCCTTTCATTAACAGCTTTTCTTTTTGCATAGAAAACCTATAAGCTAGACTCCTTCCTCTAGGTTTGGAGTACAAGAGCGAAGCAAAGGCTTCAAGAATGCATTAATTACGTAAAACATTCTTTGCTTGGAAATCTCCTATATTGGGAAGGCGTCTCATTATAATATATATATCTATTAAGCTTGTCAAAAAATTACATTAGAATAGACCGAATTAGATGTATTAATCGTTAATGACGTTTCATTTAATTATTTGTTAGAAATTACCAAAATTGTATCCATTGTACAGTTAATTCATTTTCTAACAATGACAGATGCCTGGCCAATTGTTTTTTGTTATCACAGTAACGTCTTTCGAGTTTTCGTTACTGTGATAATTATCATCGAAACTAATATATTATTCGAATACAGACAAAACGGTCTGATCCTAAGGTAATTGTATTATTATCGATTATTGATTTACAAGTATCGAGACAGTCGAGCGAGACGAGGAGTAATCGATAATGGGTAAAGACCATAAATACTCAAGTAGAGCCTATCAACTTGATTGGCTGATCTTTACGACAATGCTTACTACTACGGAAGCCAAAAATACTTCGGCATAGCGATCTGATCAGGCCGTACCTCTGTGGTATTTAACTCCTACTGAGTTATAGTAGCTGCATCGCGATTCCATAGTACGTTCACGTTCCTTCTTTTTGTAACTATTGCAACTATGCCATTATAACAGCGAACATTCAACATTGAGCTATTGTTCGGGCCTTAGGAAAAATGTCGCTCCTCCAAAAGATAAATAATACTAGCGTGTAAGTGTCAAAAAAAAAAAAAGTACTCTCCTCCAGACAGCAGACACTCGATCGAGAATTTTTGCAAAAATTATTTCAGTGCATCGTTTTACGAAGTCTAACATAAAGTTGCTCTACGCACGTAATTTCAAGCAGTAGGATGTGGCGAGGATACACGAGCAAAAAAAAATGCCGAATGCAAAGCGCCAAAGTGCGAAGACTTTCCACACGATGTACATGCGTAACAGAAACAGTTAGATCCCGTGTACAATTGTCCGATCGTCAGAAAGTATTCGCGCGAATATTCCAAGCGTGCTGTTGGAATATATCCGAGAACGATGAAGTAAAGAAATCTTGTATGACGCAACATTGACAGCGCAGAGTGCGAATACCTCCGTCGCCGTTCGGATTCACGACAATTTCGAATATGTCCGAATGGCGACGCGATCCTCGGAAATTTCTCGGTAGACAGTCGAATTGCTTAACGGATGAAAAACCTTCAAAGTAGATGAAAGCTGTACAAGTAAGTGAAATGCGAGGATGCTTTCCCGACGGAGCAGTGGCTGACACTCGTACGAGTCGTCGCTCCGATCTTGAGGACAGCAGATGCCAATCGTCGAAAATTGAAACAGACCCAGGTAAGCAAATGGTGCAGGGAAGATTTGTGGAAAGGCAGGATGTGAAGGAAACGCAAGGATCGGACATCGGATGCTTCTGCATATGCATCTGGACTTGCATTTGCATCTGCATCCTTAGGAGGCACAGCGTAACGGGCGCTGCTGTCGAAGGAGTTTGGCTAGGGGGCAGGAGGGTTTTCCCCTAGAAAAGCAAAAAGGAGACCCGGGTACGGCGGGCGTCCCCCTTGGCCCGTCGGGCCATCCCAAACTGTCAGACAGACGGGTCGCTGCCGGGGGCGGAGCCCGTCTTGCTGCCGTCGACACCAGCGCCGCCACCATCGCCGTCGGCACCTGCACCTTCTCCGCCCCTGTACGGCGAGCCGCCGACCCCACGCGCCGACAGACCTCGGAAATCCAGGTTGTACTGAAAATTTCAAAAATTGTTAAGTCGTTTGTATACTTATGAAATTCTTGAATTTAAATCGATCTGAGAGTTATGCAATTTCTGTTGTGCCAACTCCTTGATTTAATGGTAGGTGGTAGGAATATCTCAATATTATGATTTTGGTTGGGTAATTAATGTTTTATGAGACGCATTTTTTATGCAAATCACAAAACTGCATATCGTACAGATATTGTGCAGCTGCCAGTACATTTTTGAATAATTTTGCAATTAACGAATTTTTTTTACATAGATACAAATTGGAATCGCATGATCTGTATGATCATTTAAAGAAGTTATTAGTGAATATATAATACATGAATGCAGTTAGAGTTGTTTAAAGGCACTATTTCTTGTTAGACAATATTGCGGTTAAATAATATAATAAAAATTAATTTTTACTCCCAATAGTAACCAGTTCAATGAGAATTGAGTGTTGTTGTTTGAGGACTTTGTGCAATAGGTTTACATAATTTAGTAATCACAAAATCATCTACAAGTGTTGCCTGAAAGTTTATTAAAGATTTCATTAGTCACATACACAATATATAATAATATCACTGCTCCATTGTCAAGATATGCACCAAGTGTCCCTGGTTGAACCATAGACTTAAAAAAGAATTTTTCGTTATTCAAAATTCAAAGAAAATATTAGTTAAAAAGAATGAAAAGTACAAAAATGACAAAAACCAAGCATTACGTATCTAACTAAAAGACCTAAATCAAAATAAGCGTATGACAGCATGCAAAAAGGCATTTGCGAAGGTTTGTACCAAGACAATAATTCTTATTATTAAATGTTAAAGTGTTAATGGATAAAAAATGGAATGAAATCTAACAAAAAACAAAAAACATACTGAAGAAAAATGCAACTAAATGAAGAAACGAAACCAATCGAACCTGTGAAACAGAATGAGAAGAAGAAGTAGAAGTAGAAGTGGAAGTAGAAGCAGAAGTGGAAGAGAAGAAAGAAGTGTGGTTCGTCTTGAGAGATTTGTGTTTTGCAGCTGATCATCAGAATTAAGTGTTATCTCGGTAAGGTGGCGTGTCTTAATTGGTGTAGCTGCGCATGATGCATCTGTAGTTGCTGTTGCAAGTTCTGCAAATTGTACGGCGCTTGCGATGCGCTGGAGGCCGTGGCAAAGAGGTTCGAATGAAATGGATACGAAAGGTTATGTGAAGTGATTGAACAAGGACTGGAGAATCTGAACAGCGTTTGTTGTTGTTGAGGTCTTAGGATACTTTGAAGTTGGGCTGAGGTTAACGGATGAGGCTGAACGTAAGGAGTTCCTGATGGTAAAAGTCGAGGGCTAACTGGGTACAGACATTCCTCTTCCACTAGACCTTGTAACGGCGTCGTGTTGACCTCCACGTACTCCGGCATGCCGATACCGTGCTATTGTGTGAAATTTTGAAAATATTTATCGTATATACGTATTGCATGTTATTGATAAGCAGATAGCAATTAAAAGCTCTGCTCACGATAATTTTTAGCTGCGCTTCAAATTAGTTATATGCGACACGTATGATATAAATAATTCATCTGGAAAATATATTGAAGTAGGAGTAATTAATGTATTACTAGAGTAAGGCTACTTATACACTTTTTTAGAATTACATGGATTATTTTTGTATGATTATCTGTTGGTCTATAGGGATAAAAGAGGTGTTAATTTGTTAAATAACAAAATTGAACGAAAATTATTTAGCGAGTGATAAACTAGTTATATTAGCATCCAATAGTTTAATAGTAAGATTTGGACCAGAACTAAATACAAATTTATATTTGCAATAATTCGTTCACTGTTTATCGTACGCGCAACAGATATATCGTATTAGCATATATAAATTTTATGAAATTTATACAATACAAAATTTTGTGATTTTATACATATCAAAATTGTGCTAGTCCTTTAATCTTTCTGCGTCGCCGTATTAATGATCGTACTAGAATGTACACAAAATCCAATGCTTACCTTTGTGGCGCAAACGAAGCACGTGGTGACCACTTTTGAGATCACGTTCATCAAGTTTTTTGTTTCCTGGATTACGTTGTCGACTTTCGTAAAGGTGGCGGCTTTTCCGACGGTGGGATTCTTCACAGTGAACTGAAGTTGTTGAACGTAAGTCGGTACGCGGTCAAGATTCTCGAGAAGCTCCTTCTTGTGCGGTCCGCCCGGTACCTGCACCCATATAATATTGTATCCAAACTTTCGTCGATTAATCACTCGCAAAGCAAACGTGTTGTAACAGTTCCGTATATATGACCCATGATATACCATAAATAGACATTTTAAATAATAGACTCCTTGTCACTCGATATCCAATTTCAAAATAATTTCAATCCTATTTGTATTTGTTTTTTTTTTGGGAAAGGAGCATCACTTAAGTGACTCATTAATAACGATATAAATAATTTTTAATCGTACAGAACGCTGATTCATTTAGACTTTGTAATATTTGTTAAAGTAACGAAATTTAAAAAATACGTTAATCAACCAACTTATACCTTTCTCTTTATATATTTTTTTGTAAACACTGAAGTGTTATAGAAACTTGATGGCTTAAGTAGTATTCCTCTAGTATTCTAAATAAGTATTTCTTAAATGCTAATATACGTTGAAGCTTGTGGATCGAAAAATAATTCTTTTGAGTCAATATTTTGGAAAAAGGTTTAGAACAATATTAATGTTAAACGAAATTTCGGAACACGTTTGCTCTGCGGGAGTAATAACTGTATATCTTATTATATTATAGCTTTGATTATTCCCAATAATCTTAAGAGGAACAATCAAGTCCTATCTCTCGAATTTATATTTTTATAACAATTATATTATTTATACGAGACGCCCGTACGCGTATTTGCAATTCAATAACCGAATGCAAATACTGTGTCATCTATTGATCCTAATAAAATACAATGCAGAATCTTAGAAAAAGGAGATAGAGAGTCTGAGACAAGAAAGTTTAGAATGAATGCGTGAATGAGAGCGAAAAAGTACAGACCTTTTTGTTTTTGCCAGCTTCGCGGATCCCACAATTATTGCAGGATAAATATTTATATTGGCAAAGTGAGAAATTTATTTCTTAAAGTTCTTTTTTCTTGTCCGTGATACATTGTTGACGAAATCAAGTCACAGCAAACTTTTCATTATAATCATGCTCGATAACGAGGAAAAGAGGAATAAAAATAATACATGAAAGTATGTATCGTTCCAGTATCATTTGTTACATTTAATAAATCTTAAAATTTCATTTAATTTTTTCTCCTCATTAATTTTACATTTACTGATATCTTATCACTTAGGATTCCTGCAGACAGTACACTGTTTTCCCTATTAGCCGCGCGTTAACCAACATGAACGTTGCAAAAGGCTCTAGGTATATTGTATTTCTATTGATCGACGAATCACGTATACGGTATAGCGTATATTGTCTTTAGAAGTACTGCCAGATACCAACTGCATAAACTATGCAGCAGCATCTTTTGAATTTGACCTCTTATGTTAGAAAAAGTTAATTTTGTGTATCGCTCTATTGGTACCGGGTGTAGTAATAGCTCGTCTTTTTGAAAAGCTTGAAAAAGATCGGGCGTAGAATGTTGTTCGAAAAAGTCAAATAAAAATAACGTTTAAGACTAGGCAGTTATTAACATAGGTTAAAGGCAATGTTATAACTTCATTTCGTAACAAACATAGCTGCTCGACAGTTTTGTCGGTGGCGTGTAAGACAAGAAAAGAAAGAAAAAGTGTGCTTTTAATGTTAGACAGGGGTCATTTTCAAAGCTGGCAAAAACTTTGAGACATAATATTCATGCCCCAGATAGTGGAAGGAGGGGGACCACAATGCACATAGACGTCGTCCACAGACGCGAAGCATTCCCGTAGCATCTAAAACACACCTTACTAATCGTACACAAAAAATTGTTGATATACGTACAAGAAATGGATTTACCAACAAAACCACAATTACGTAGAGACACACAAGTCGATGAGTTCGTGTAACCATAAAAACTCGTGTATCCTTTAAACAGTGTGGATTACATTGTATTAAGTAAAAAAGACCACATTATGTTATTGACCAAAGAAAAACAGAAATTAATACGAAAATAACTGAATTAAAATATTTTATATACAGTGCCCAAAAAGTTCCGTATCAGGTATGTATCTACTACTGGAATCGTGGTAAATCTGAAAAAAACGGTTCTTGCAAAATTAAAAAGTTTTAATCGGTTTTGGAGAAATATGCAATTAATAATTGAAAATTTCCACCAACCAAGAGCGTTGGCTGTTCTACAAAAATCAGTGAGGCATCGGATTGGCGGAACATTTTCTTCAATGAATATCAACAAATTCCCTCACTCCCTAAGTACATCAGTCGAATTAGGCATGATTTCCCCTACATATAAAGAAATCGTAGAAAAAAGACGACAAAAGACAAGAAAGACAAAACAGCCTTCCGCCTAATTCGACCGATATATTTAGCAAGTGTGGGAATGGAGAAAATTTATGGACATTCATTTGAAAAAACGTTTTGCCAATCTGATGCTCTATTGCTTTTTATCAAGCAGCCAACGCTTTTGGGTTGATGGAAATTTTCAATTTTAATTAGTTTTCTCCAAAATCGATTAAAATTTTTCTATTTTGCAAGAACCGTTTTCTTCAGAATCTTATCACGATTCTAGTGATATATTATATATTTTATATGGGACTTTTCGGACACGTTGCATAGTCACTATAATATATGTATACAGGGTTATTCACGGCAAACGGTGGTTTTACCATAAAAATCAAGTATACAGAGTAATTTTAGGTGGTTCTGTGTGTCGAGAATAATCCTGTATATATAACGTTAGACAGTTGTTATCATACGATAAAAAGATATCTGTTTTCCTATATTTCAATTTAAAAAAGTGTATGTTGGTTTTAGCGTACAAACTGACGAGATTTGCAAATTCGCAATTATGAGACGAAAGATTGAACAATGTAAATTCCGAGTGTGGGCGATGATTAAAAATAACTGTTATTCTTTGGAGAAGTGCTTTATAAAAAAAAAAAAAGAAAACCAAAGATCAACAGAAAATTATCGCTATCATGTGATAATAATTATGATCATTGTACATTATACAGTTGTTAATAAAGTTATTATGCGTGCTGTACACAAGTTTTAGTGAGAAATTATGGTTGCTATAATTCATTCAAACAATTGTCGTATTCTGCCTACTGAAAGTGATCTTGCATAACACGATTTCTCGATATTATGAAATGACGCGAAACATCATCAAGTGACAAAGAAATGTAATATGATGATGAGACAATATTGTACAGGCGAACAATGATTTCTATCCCAAAGGGTCTAAAGTAAAGATAGAAAACGTTACCTGGGTGAAGGCATTCAAGAGCAAGGGTTGAAAGAGGGTCGTATAATACAAATTTTACAGGTTAGCAATTGTTTCATAAAGTAGAGTGGAATAATTCAAAGTGATATTGGAGTACTAGATATTTTGGTCTAGCTAAGAGGGGTCGAAAGGGCAGCAAACATGTTAATTCGAACGTGTCTAATGCTAAAAACGACCCAAAGAGCCATCTCCAAGTAACCTTCCATGTTATGCATCTCTGAAAGTTGTATCCACGAAAATAAAAAGACATTTAACATCTCGATAATGAGCGTGTATCTTCTAAAGAGTCGAAGCATGCCACAGATAATTAACATAGTACATATACATATTATTTCAATGCTTTAATGAAGTTCAACTTTCAAATTCTTCGAATATCATTCAAAGACACTTTTTACCTATTACCGAGTATATGTATAGTTGCATCGTTAATAACATTAATAATAAGTTTATTTTTAATAAAAGAGGTTCTTTTCGAGAGGTTTCCAGCGCGGGAGGTTTTTTGGATGTAGCTCCGACAGCGTTCTTACGAGTGAAAAAGAAATAGAAGGGGAAGGTAGAGGGCATAGAGGAAGGGGGAGGGAGAGAGAGAGAGAGAGAGAGAGAGAGAACAACAAAATTTTAGTAAAGTGTCCAACAGCATGAATAACTTGGAATCAAGTCCAATGTAGAAACCGTGAACAAAGATCAAATGGTACGTAATTCCATTATGAGAAAGGTGTAAGATAAGAGAAGGACCAAAGTGCCATTACGTACCTGGTAGCTAAATTGTCTCACAACTTTGTACAATCTGTTGGCCTCTTCAGCGAAATATTCAGCTTGGGTGAAGAGGTCCTGCGTCGTCTTAAGGGCACCTTCGCCACGTGTGAATTGATACATGGAAAACGCCATAGAGGACATGTTCTTAGCTCGTTTTACTATGTCATTATTTTCCTCTAAGGCGGCACCGCTTTCCTGCCACTTTTCCGTCTCTGCATCCATTTCCGAAGTGATCAGTTTCATTTCCAAACCGGCCTTCGCTATCTTCGCCTGTTCTTCGCTGTCCAGTCTCACGGGTTTTAGAGGTTTGCTCGTTGTGCCGTGTTTCTGTGACATTGATCGTTGTTCGTTGTTGACTTGTATTTATAATATTCATTATTTTTCATTGCTAGGTTAATTGTATGGCTATGATCATTCTCAGGGCATTTACTTACACCTGGTCGTGGCAAAGACATGTACACTTGTTTCTCGGGTCGATTTTGACTCAGCTCCAGGACGTCTTTTGCGACTGTTGTAACGTCTGACATTAGCCACTGCCACATATCCGTGAAAACTAAGAGTAACAATTACCAATTATTTGGATGAAAACTAGTCGAAGTCATTTCTTATTGTCCCTCGTGTATTTATCATTTTGACGTATGACTTTTTGTTCAATTTTTAATGTTGTAGTATACTTTTCAATGATAAGAAGAAGCTTTTTAAGCTCGCTTTAAAATATTTACTGGTATAATAAAAATAATTAATCTACCTTCGAGATTTTCCTTAGCGATTTTACTTGTCGGATGCCTAGCTAGCGTGTGTGCTGCGGTCACGACTTGAGGACCGTATATTCTCAGGTTGATTTCTGTAAACTTCGCCGACACTTGCAACGATTCGGAGAGAGCCACGTGTCTCAGAAGTTTGCATACCTGCACATATAAAATTTTGTAAGTTTCCGTACTGCTGATAAAAAAGTTTAAATTTGATATGATCATGACCTACATTCATTCTGCGGTCCTGCAGATATTATATTATAATATATACATATACACATGTTGCATAAACTCTTAGTAACAGTCTAAATTGCACTTATCATTTGACACTATAAATCACATAGTAAATTAAACAATAGTTTTCAGCAAGTTCTAACAGTAACGCATAAAATTGCATATATTCGCGATATAAGTATTATAAGGCATTAAACGCATAATATTATAAATCGAAAATGTTCTTGAGAGTATAAATCTTATGAAATACTAGTAAAATTCTGGATTAAAAAATTGCCGTAGAATCATCATTAATATATGTATAATTATATATATAACTTATCCATTATCGATTGGACGTACTTCGAGAATGTGTTCGATGTATTCGTGAAATCGATCGCTGCTCTCCTGTAGCCTATCGATATCATTAGCCAGTGCGAGATTCCTAATAGTGGAGACAAGTTCTTGGCCAGCTTTTGTCACCTGACCGAGATCACCAGCTTGTTCCATCGTTGTCGTGCTCAATTGTTGTCTAAGGTCTCTTGTTGCTCTTAGGACCCCCAGAACAGCTTGTTCCATTTCGGAACTTGGAGAACCCCCACCACCTTCAAAATTCTACAACGAATAATATCATATGTGTATTTTCAATATCAATATATTTTCAATTCAACATATTTTTCCAAAACTTGTACCATTTAGGTAAAGCGATTTTATTTCTTACCATGCTGTTGCCAATTCTTAAAAGTGTGTTAAGTTCCAATTTCGCTCTGTCGCACAGTAAAAGGATGTTTTCTCTATGTTCGTGGCTGGTGTATGCACTATCAGTGAAATCTTGAGTTCTTTCCGCTACGGTGTCCAAGGCTGCTGTCAAAGTCTCCCGACAACCTGGACCCAGTAGTGTCATTCTCGTTGTTTCCACGAGACGTTCAAAGTGTTTTAACGCAGAACAGACTGTACTGCTATCCCAATCTTCCTGCTGCGGGCTCTGAAGTAAAAAGAAAAATGATTAACAATTAATATAATACGGATTTTTGCGCGTGAGCGAAACGTGTGAAACGAAAAAAGGCGAAAATATTAATGAGTTATGAAATTCATGAAATTAAAATGTGCTGTTGTATTATCTTTGTATTATACTAAAAATAAAGCAACGATCACCCTTAGGCATTAATGAAATATTCATAGAACCTAAGGAAAGGGGAAATGAAAAATAATTTGCATGATTGCTCACTATTTACGTTTACAAGAGACTTTGGTTTGGCATTAAACAAAATGCTCATCGCTTATAACGTAACTGACTTTTGAAACTCATTGTCCTGTAATGATTTAGCGTGTTATATTAACGGAACAATAAGAAGTGTTAATACGCCCGAAATTTCGAATAACTCCCGATAAAAGCTATCGGTTAAGAGGGTGATCAATCATATTTTGGTGATTCTGGATCCGTTCCAGTTTCTCTTTAAAATGTAAACATTTTCCTTTTTCTATAGGCTATTAGCTTTACAAAACATAACTCAGATTGGAATCTCTGAGTGGTTTTAAAGAATAGTTGGATCATCATTATGATGTAATTTTCTTTTTTACGGAAAGCATTTGTATTCTGACGTAGAATTTTGTATATTTCGTAACGAATTTCTCTGTCTGTTAAGTGTATTTCGTTTCTCCTGTTTGTTACTATTCTCATTATTTGTGACCTTTTATTCAATTCATTTTAGGTCTCGATAGTAGTGTATAATGTTCAATTTCGACAAATATCATAACATACTGTAAAAATAATATAAGCTTCTGTAACTGCATTTAATATATTGCTTCAATTTTCTTATTATATACGACATATGAACACTGCTATAAATACATTTTACGTATGAATTTACAATAGTTCGATGAAATCGCTGAGTCCGTTATTTCTTAAATGTTTTGTTTTACTTATAAATTTAGAAATTCAGGCGCTTTTCAGATCCTATAATTAGCAGTGATTCATAATTATCAAACCTAGTTTCGCATTTTACTTCACAGTCAAACTTAATCACAACCACGTAATGCATAATATGCTCGCAGCATTATTCTATACGTTTGGCTTCCAGTTACTCGTTTATATTTATATCACGTATAGAACCACGCCAATAACACTGACATTTAAACTTTATAAAGACGTAAAATCCCGTAGAGCTTCTTTCATGGCATATCGTATCAGCTGATCAGGGAACACTGATAGCTAGGTGGGTATCATTTAGAAGTTTCCATGATCTGAACCCTCTTTAAGAGTCTTTAACGTTCCACAGACTCATTAGCATCTTATCCCTTCATGCATGGGATTCGCGTTTATTCACTCGGCTCGTGAGATAACCGATAATGATACTCATACACGCGCATACATATAATAATACAAAGGGAATACTTTGTAATACTTCTTTTTGTTTTTAAGGGAGTAATTTGTTTGTTGCACGTCAACATTTTTATCCTGAAATTTCGTAAAATTTTTTTGAAGCTGTATTAGACGTTCGCCTGGAAATTTATATTAGTATAGGAAATTATTTCGTGCAACGTCCCCCTTAGAGTGATTAAATTCATGAAATTTATGAATACCTGTGAATTGGAGTAGGGCTGCTGGGACTCGCTGCAGTCGAGGACGCCATCTTTAACGACGTAATGAATAAGATCCATGGCTCTTCTCATTTGGCAGAACACCGTGTCCCGATTCTCTTTGGCTGAAGGACATTCCGGATGCCTTAGACACGTTTTGCTTGATGTTAGGAGCATCATTGTACTTCTTTCGAGAACTTGACGCGCGGCTGCCATTTGTGCCCTTCGCCTTTCATCCTTGAGATCGTTCTAAAAAAAGCAACAAAAGAGTCGATTGAAGAAAACTAAGTAAAAAACAAATTCCCATGTTCACTCTTGCAATTTTCCAGCGCCGCAAGGCATCCGCAAGTTTTTTTGTTTTTCATTAAATGTAGTCTGTCGAGAATATTTTCTCTGGAGAAATTGAATAGAGAATAAGAGATGAAGATAAAGAAGGATTACCAAGCACGTATTCTTTGCAAATAAAATGCGATAAGTAATGTGCTTGAGAAAGGTGAAATCATTTCTTGCAATTATTTTTCAACTTGGTGTCTGTATGGTTATACCATATCTATAATGATATACGTATGAAATGCAAGTGAATAAGTAGGGCAATTAAAACGAATTAAAACGGTCTTTAGGTCGCCCGAAATAGTTGACTCCACACATTTCATGAAATATGTATTGCTGTCGTCGTACGTGCTAATTCGAATCCAGACGAGTGTCCACTTTTTTTCCTTTTTGTGTCTATTCAGCTCATTTCTAAAAATTCATTTCGTTCGACATATTTATAACGTCACTCGCGTTATCGCCAGTTGACTAAATTTTACTTTAAAATTACGACTGCTTCAAATTTGAAAAATGAGCAAGGGAAGACGGTATCGTCCATAACGCGTTATTCAATGTGCCCCTCCACCTGGAGGTAATGACTTTACATTTCATTTGTTTTTGCTTGACAAGAGGTAGATTAGTTTATTCCAAGATGACACCATCTTTCCTTCTTTAAGAATGTCTACAGACACAATTTGACTTTGTCAACTTCGACAGAGTGACATTACGTATCAGCAGTCCTATCAATCATTATTTAAGTATTTTGAAAATATGCCCGAACAACCTGTTCTTTCCTAGTCAAGTATTCTTTCTGAATGATGCAGAAATTAGAAAATATCGTGTAGATAGGTTCGCGGTGAGAAATTACCTGAACAATGCGTTAACCGATTCTTATGCGTTAACTGTATCTTACACAATTGTTAAAATAAATTAGTTTCTTAAATGCAAAATTTAAAAATTGTAAATTTTTGATATTTGAAAATCAAAATTGATTAAGTGGTTCACTCCGAATTTCGGTGTTTTTGTATTTTTCGCATGCACAGTTTTGAAACCGGATGTGCTATTCATCGGCAAATATCATCGTGCCATTTACACCCGGAACGTCTCGGAATGTCTCGTGTAAATTTTAAGTTGATCGATTCGTTTAGAATTTTAGATACAAACTTTTTTCCGTGCATTTACATACGAACACACACTTTTATTGTATCGTTTTTTTACAATGGTAAATCGAAACGAAATTCCTGCATATTCTAGGCGGTCGTATTTAAATATTATTTAGACATCAGGAAAATATTTGTGTATTTGTATAGTAGAAATTTTATTTTAAAATTCAAATTCTCTTAAATATTCTGCCAAGGATATTAAGGTTGCTACTGCGCTGCACATTAGTCAAAAGACGAATCAATTTTTACAATGAATTTTACAAAGTTAATTGTATTAATTGACAGTAACGGAGGTCGATTTGTATTACAACACGTGGCCTTAATTTAGAGAAACACTAATAGCAATGTATTAGCCAAAATATTGAGTGATCAATGCTAACTTCCATAGAAATATATTTTCGTTGAGTTTTTTCGAAGAATAAACCGTAATTTCTACCAATTTTAACGCGTCACTACTCAATTTGTTTCTTGAAAGTTGCTCTACGAATACACGTAAATGGATTTTTTGTAGTGTTGACCGTTAAAAAATCGCAATAAAATTCTTTATAAACAAACTACTGTAATTTTTAAACCGTTCAAAAACTGTCTAGAAAACCCTACTAAAAGTTATATGATGAATTCGTGGAGCAACTATCGAGAAACAGAATGAACTATGGCTACGGCTATACGTCTAGAGAAGTTAGCATTGATCACTTAATGCTTTAGCTAATACGTTGCCATTAATGTCTTTCTAGGGTTAAGGAAACGCGTTGGAATACAAATCACCTTCAACTATTGTCAATTAATACATTTAATTTTGTAAAGTTCATTTGAAAATATATTAATCCCTCATTTAACTAGGGTGCAGCACAGTAGATACCTTAATCTGATTTGTACCATATTCATGTGGATCAAAGCCATATAGATAGAGACACAGTAATGTCCTGAATGCTAACAAGAAATTTTAGGATAATCATGTAAATTAGCTTACTTGTCGATCGCCAGTCAAATGTGCAAGTTCCACCATTTCCGCTCCGAACTGACTGAAGGCTTTTACGAATTCCGTAAAGTTCGAGACGCTCTCCAGTCGTCCAAGACTTCGAGCAACTTTATCCTTGGCAAGCAAAAGTTGTTTTACAACAACAATGTCCGCGAGGAGTAGCACTCTCGTTACGGATCCTAGAAGACATCTGGCAGCTCTGACAACAGATCCTCTGTCAGCCAGACTGTCCTCAATGGCACATTCACACAGCTTTTCGATTGCCGAGCCTAGAACAATGAAAAACACTTTTCTGTATTCATTATTCGTTTTTTAAATAATACAATCGTTTGTGTTAATTCTGAATTGTAGAACGTGTACTAATTTTATCGAACGATATTCTTTTACACTCATTAAAATGAAAAATTACTTAACGAGGAGAATATATGTTTTAATAAAACGATATTCATTTTTTTAATTTCCTCGTCACGCTTTTAAGTCTTCCAGAGAATATCAGGTCTAATACAACTATGATTAATAGGTCGTTGTAACTCAAATACGAGTTTTTCATATTCGACTTTCCAGAAGTCAGTTATCAGTATATTTTTTTAATATTAATCTTGTTAGATATGCAGAACCAATCAGTCAGATCGACTGTTTCTCGATGCTTATTTTTCGGTTTTTGAATGAATAAGGAATGATCAGGTGTATTTTTCGAGAATGACAAACGAGTTGTCTGAGTCATAAAAACTTCTTGAGATTATTGACGAGAATGATTGGGTGGGTGTGTTAATCGATTAGTTAAAGTAATTTGTCATTTCCAAATTCTCTACAGTATTCTCTTATTCCGCAATCAAAGCTTGCTGCTCCCATTTTTGTGTCTGCAAATGTGGGATGGGCATGTTTAAGGTATCACGTAAGTAAAACCAATCAGGATATTAGCAAATCGATGTATTCCTCTCGACCGATAAGTAACGTTAAAAGTTGGATTAGGTTAGGTTAAAAAGGGTTACGTTCAATCTCGATAAAATTTGGGTTAGGCCGAGTGAAAGAAATGCATAAATATCAGCCGAACGAAATTAATTGAACACCTTTTGAAATTTGTGCTATCTCTTTCAATTCCATTGAGCCTAGAGTTACGTGACTGAGTTAGGTCAAATCGATTTATTGGTGTAGGATGTTTAGGTTAATTGAGATTTGAAGCTCTTATTTGTGTTCAGGTCAAGTTGGATCGATTGCCGTCACGGTTAGTCTGGAATGACATAAACCAGATAAGGGTAGGTTTCGTAAAAATCAAGTAAAAAGGTATTTCACGTCACTCCGATGTCCGCATTGTCCAATTTTGTATGCGTTATCAGCGATAAGAGATCAAGAAGTGAAACAAGTTAAAAACGATTAGAGTAATTAATATAACTCGGACACGCAGTTTTTACAATATGAAGGAAGATTTCTATCTTTAGACAAGGAAAATGAAGGACGCATTTCACCCTTATATTTTAGCATCTGCGTTGAATAATTAACATATTCTGTGTGACGTGACCTATTTGTAACCAGAAATTTGTATTGTTCCAGGGATGACTTATACTCTGTAGATAATAAGTTATTTTTCAATAATTTTGATGATCTAGTGATTTTTATCAGTCTCAAGGATAATCTGTAACCCATCAGCGAACCATTGTTTCATCAATGATTCAACTCTTTCTTTTTTATTAGAGCCGATACTTTTCAAGTCCACCTATAAATATCTAGGACTCTTGACTACCAACCTTCGACCTTTGATCTTTCATAACCTCCACAGACACTCCAGTGACAAGATACACCTAGTAGGAAAATATATAGTCCAGGCATTTGTCTTTTTATATAAATATCATTAATTTTCAAACTATTATAATGTACTGGATCTTTCCCTAATAATTGAAATATATAATATTATCTACATAGGAACTATATAAAAGTATTGTTCCTTATTTACAGACGTCAACTCATATTTTCTTACAATTTCATCAATACATTCTCTCAAAATACAGCACCTGTGATTCGATGTGTAATAACGTGTAATAACGTATAACTATACATATATGTATATATATATAAATGATGTTCTATTTGCATAAAAGTCATGTAGCGATGAGAGAAAAAATCTAGAACGTTCGCAAGCACTTCTCGGTAGAGTCAAAGGTGATTAACTCTATGTAACGTAATCTGTTGAGTTACCTTGATAACGAAACCTTAGAATGTTTCATGCAGATAGGCATATTAGAGTACCATGCTGCACACGTGTGCGCCTTGACCCGCTGGTAATGACGTATTCATGTTCGAAAGTAAGAATGACAAAAAAAGTGGGAAAATAATTTAAAAAAAGATAAAAACTTCGATTTTTCTTTAACTTCTTCAGGGGTGGCAGCTCTGTTTTATGTTGGTTACGATAAATGAGTGTTTCGCACGTAAACTTTGAACGACCTTAAAAGACTATAGATATAGATAGTCGAGTAGGAACTAAATGGATGCGCAGGTATAGCCTGCATAAAAATGGTGAAATCGATATATTAAACAAAACAGTTACTAGTGGACGATGACGCCTGGTGATTATGTTTATAAAAATTGAAATCTTTCAAAATAGTACAACCGGGTAAAAATTTTTCTATTCATGATGGATTCATCTGGCTGACATCATATTTTGATATATTTCGAATCCTATAATGAATTCATCATGAATCAAAAGATTCATGCTGAACAAAAAGATTTTAGTTGAACATTCAGCAGAAACGAATGATGAATATCTCATGAACTTATCCATGCTTTGGAACAGTCATCAACGTTCATCAAGTGCTCAGGATTATCTCAAGAGATGGATGTCAGCCAAGTGAATTTATCATGGATTTATTATGAAATATACGAACACGATTAACTATATACGTCAAGTTTATTTTACATATACATATTTTATTTTAATTCAATTGCGAACCGCCAAATGACACAAAGTTGAAAATGTCGCTTTTTGTGATTACTTGCAAAGGTTTATTTCTCAGGTATGACGACTGTACTAGATAGTTCCAATTTGGAATGATAATTTGCTTCGGTTCACGATCACTCGTTGTAAGAAATTGGCTGTTACGCCACCTACTGTCTAATTTTTCTACCAGCGTATATCACAATTTATATGTATACGTATGTGGTCAAATTGTCATGTATTGTGGTACACTCCGTTTAAATAATATCTGGGTGAATGATAGGATAAATATGTGACAAATTAGACCTAGGTATTACCTGGAGAGAGCATATACACGTCGATTATAGATTTTTCTATTAAATTGTTGGTGTTTGTTGTGAGTGTCGTATTAATGTAATGTTTACGTTGTTAAAATATACTGACATACTCGTTTCACTAATAATTTTGTGTAAAACCTCAACAAATAATGATTTTAGTTCCTGACGTGAAGGGCCGGATGTAATTACAATATACTGGCTTTTATGACCTCTATTTCCTGCATTTTCTTAAATTTCCACGTCAATAATCATCAATGTGAAATATACAGGAATTTCGACTGAACTTTAAGACGGTTGATTCGAGTGAATAATTCTCGTAATGAAGTTAGTTTACGTCGGAATATGCCGTTCTTCTAATGTCCTAAATAACTACCAAAAGTTCATTTACATTATCAAAAATACCTAACATTTATTAATAAATAGATTTAAAGTCGTCAAAGAAGTTCAGGTCTCCGTTCAGGCAATGCGCTAACAAACTCTGCGTTCGAAAGACTTAATCAAGAAGTGTGTCGAGTCGACTTGTCGCCAACAAATGTTCATCCTAACATTAACTTTCCGTATAGAGTTATGACAATAACCATTTCAGCGATCTGTTTCGAAGAAACAATAGGACACAGATCGATAGAAAGGTACCTAAATAGACGGACAGTTGAATGTAGGTGAACCTGTGGGTAAAAGCTGCCACTCCGCGCGATTTTACACTGTTTGGTATTCTGCCATGCCATCCGCATTATTTTTTTTTTCACAAAACATTCCCATTCTGCTTTTTTTCCTTTCACCCTTTTATTGCGTCTTAAAGATGGTTATATACTAAATTATTACAATGAAAATAACGAATAAAAAAAAGTTTCAATAGCCAAGAAAAATTAGAGTAAGGTTATCAAGTTAAATGTTTCATGTGCGAAAAACTATAATTTCATGGGAATTAATATTTAATTAGGTGTCACTGCACCTGTCGACCGTCACGGAGTTTGCCAAATATCATATTCATTGCGAGAATTCATGTCTATATTAAAACAGACGTTATCTTCAGAAATGCGAGGGTTTTCTTTACAGCGCGACGAACCCAGGCAGTTATAGTAGCCTGAATTTACGTTCCTTAGGGTTTACACTATGGGCGATAAAGCTGTCATATTTTTTGGGATTAATAGCAGTTATAAAAAGTTAATAACCAGAAAAGTAATTTTTCGAGAAAGTTGAGAATTTCTTCGAGGAAACTAAGTGTTGGTACGAAAAGAGGTTGAGTGTGCAAAATATATCTTCACGCATTTTTTCACTCATTTTCACCCGTACTAGATATCATAATAATACTGCTTGCATTGTCTTTGCAAAATGCGTGCATATCTCGACGAAAAATTAGGTCGAAAGCTCTAATAATAGAATGGAGAACTGTATGTGTTCATGAGTTTGGAATATCATTACTTGTTCAAATACAGATATCGGTATAGGCGAAAGATTCTGATTATTTAGAAATATTCATCAATACTGAACCAACGAGTATAGCGATAATAACCAGTTACTGATACATCATAAAATGTTAAAGAATGTTATCATGGGTTTCATGTAAATGAAATAAGATAATTCATCAATAATTCTCTCGCTCATCCTATTTATTGCATTGAATAGAATAAGAAACTTCAATAAGGTTAAAGAATAAGACAAGATGAAGTAAGAAATTGTCTGATGATGTTATAAAAACTTCTCTGTCCACTGTGAAGCTGCAATCCTCACGATATACGAAGAAATAATAGAGCTTCGACTATGTGTATAAAGCATTATGTGGTAATGGCAAGTCTATTTAATGGAGTCGATAACAGTTTTGCACAAAATTGCCCCTTTAAAGTGACCCCTGCATTCTCTTGCGGTATTACGTGGCTCGTTTGTTATATAGATACTGTATCGCTTCCTCTCCATTCTATAGTACAGTTAACAGTATATATATATATATATATATATATATATATATATATATATATATAAAATATATATG